CCTGCCCGGCTCTGTTCTGCCTTGCCATAGGCTAAAGCAACTTTATTTACCAACCAATGAGAGCAACACACACAGCATACAGAAGACATCCCACATGAGGTGGCACTGGGGCCCTAGAGGTGACTCACCTCCCAGTTTCAGTTATGACTTTGAGGCAGGCAACAGACATCTGCTAGAGGTGATTAAAAGGAAAACAGTAAAAATAGGTTCTCACACCGAAATGCACAGAGAGAATTAAGATGAAGCCTTACTTACAGGAATAGCTGAAAGGCTGAGAGTCTGAAGGATAGATTCAGGAGGGAATGGGGTTGCAGCTGACTAAAAATAGAAGCTAAATGGTCTGAACCCTAGACATTTCCAAGGTGGCCAGAAATCACGCCTTGGTTTGAAGTCTGGAAAAGCACCCTTGTAACTTAGCTAAGACGTTGGCTTCAACCTTTGGGGGATCAGCTATGAAGTTTGAATGCCTGGGAGAATATTTCACCATGACAGGGTAGACAAGGCTGAAGCTCAGAGACAGGATCTCAGATCTGGGCCAATCTAAAGCAAATGGTAAAGCCACAGACAAAAGTATTATATGAAAGTCTGTTTGAAATGCAGATTCTTCTTGGACTGTACCCTGAATCTACCTCATAAGAAACTCTGACAAGAGAGCTCAGGAACCCACGCTTGAGTCAGCCATCCAGGTGATCTCCATGTACACCAGAGGCCTAAGAGGCCAGAGGATGGCAGGGGTGCTGGCGTGTGCTGTGGGAGCCACATGAGTCACGTGAAGGTCACGAAAACCCATGCCAAGACAGCAGCTCTGGTTGCTGTTCTCAAACAACCACTAAGACCTACCCAAAGAACTAAACCACATCAAGTCCAGTCTGTGACCAGACTAGTGTTGCCTCCCACATGTACTAGCTACCTTTCCATTGTTACATTAGAATACCTCAGGCTTTAAAACTTCTTTAAATAACTTTAGGGCTGGAGAGGTGACTCTGTGATTAAGAACACCAGTTCTTGGAGAGGACCCAGCTTCCGTTGTAGCTCACAACCCTCTGTAACTCCAGTTCCAAAGAACATGACTCCCCTGACCTCTGAGGGTACATGGTATGCATACATACAGGAAAAATATTTATAAATAAAAAAATAAAATTTAAAAAACTAGGTTTATTTAGCTGGCACTAAGCGTGACACCAGCTTCTGATCAAGTCTGATGGGGGCTGCATTACAATGGGGGGGAGCATGTGCAGAAGAGATCACATGGTAAAAAGGAAAGCCAAAGGGCAACTGCTGTGGTTGGAACCACCGTGATAAACGCTGCGACCAAAGCAACTAGAGATTTAAGGGCTTGTTTCGCTTACAATTTAGAGTCCATCATGGAGGGAAGTCAAGGCAAGAACACACAGCAGGAGGTAAAGCAGAAGTCATGGAAGAGTGCTGCCTGCAGGGCTGGACAGATGGCTCGGAGGTCAAGAGCACTGGCTGTGCTTCCAGAGGTCCTGAGTTCAATTCCCAGCAACCACATGGCTGCTCACCACCATCTGTAATGAGATCTGGTGCCCTCTTCTGGCCTGCAGATGTATACATGCAGCCAAAACACTGTACATGTAATAAATAAATAAATAGGACTTTAAAAAAAAAAAAGAATGCTGCTTGCTGGCTTTCTTCTCATTGCCTGCTCAGACTGCTTGATTATACGACTAAGGACTACCACCATACACACTCATGGGCTAGACCCGCCCACATTTATCATTAATTGAGAAAATGTCCTACAGCCTTGCCTACAGGCAATCTGGAAAGAGATATGTTTTCAGTTGAGGTTTCTCTTCCAAGACATATCTAGGTCTTTGACAAAAAAAAAAAAAACAACAACCTGCACTACCTCAAAGGTCAAGCTAAGTCATTTATAATCACTTGTTCTCTGGAGAACCAAAGCCAGCATTAAACCTTTCCTGGGGAGCCTTGCCCCCAGAGGAGTCTCCCGTGACAAAATTACCTTGTTCTCAGCCCCGCCTCCCAACACTGCCATACGGAGGTTCATTCTAACACATGACCTTTGGGGGAACATTTTCAAATCAAATCCAAACCATAGCAGCACCTAAACCAGACAAAACATAACAGGCTAATCCTAAAAATATGAACTGGAATGAGTCAGTACTCCCTACTGCAGATATTTCAGGAAGTTGAGTATAGTAATTACTACCAGATTTTTAAGCATTTCAGAAGCTTTTGTTGTAATGTACACCCATAGCTTACTTTTTATACTTCAATCTATTTATAATGTTTTAAATCTCAAAATGAAAAGAAGGCCTGTTGTTCTTTATGGAGGCGATGAGAGGGAGAATATCATAGCATATAATAGATTTCATGGAAAGGGACTTTCTCCTAGGCAACTAAGGTCTGTGGCCCTAGAATGCAGTAGCATGTTTCTTTTTTGGAGTTGAACTTAGGAACTTACTTAATAAAAGTGATGGTACTTTAATCTGATTCTATTAAATTTCTAACTTCTATATAATTCTTGATCAAAATTCTTATATCAGAATATAATTTGTCTAAACCTTAGTATCTTAGAAATTAAAGTTCTGCATAACTTACTCATGACTCTCAGCCACCGTGTCACTAGTGTCACTAGTCTAATTGAGGAAATTGGGGAAATTAAGGCAGTGCTCTGATTGGACATGATGGCATGTACCAAAGGGCTTTCCCGCCAAGCTTTCCAACGAAAGGGTGATCAAATGTTCAGTCAGACATTTGTTTCAGGGGCAGCATTTCTTCCCTACTTTGAAAGATACTGTGAAATTTTACTATCACTTCTTTTGTTTTACACATCTGAGTGCTTTGCCTACGCAGGTCTGTGACTGCCTGCAGGTGTCGTACTTGAGGAAGTGGTGAGCCTCCGCGTGAGTTCTGGGAATTGAACCTGGGTCCTTCACAACGACAAGTGCTCTTAACCATTGAGGCAACGCTCCAGCCCTATCACTTCTTATAAATACATCAACAAATGTTATATTGTTGGCAGCTGGGTCCTTCACAACGACAAGTGCTCTTAACCACTGAGGCAACGCTCCAGCCCTTACTATCACTTCTTATAAATACATCAACAAATGTTATATTGCTGGCAGCTAGAGAGATGGCTCAGAGGCTGAGAGCACTGACTGCTTTCCCAGAGGACCTGGGTTCAATTCTCGGCATCCCACACAGCATCTCACAACTGTCTATAACTCCAGAATCCAACACCCTCGCACGGACATACATGTGGGCAAAACATCAACGCATACAAAATAAAAATAAGTAAATTATTTTTTAAAGTTACACTACCATGTTTTTAATCTGAAAGTGTTCCCAACTAAATTGAGGGTTTTATATTGTTTTATAAGCAACCATGTTTAAAGTATATACTAAAGACCTCCTCTAGTTGTTGTTTTATTCCAAGTGTTGAAGATTACAATAATGAGTTACTCTGCCCTGCGAATGTGAATATTTGTAATGTACAGTGACTTGGAAGGGTTTTGTTAGCAGAAATAACTAAGTTTGTGAATTTGGACTCTAGTCTGCCTTCCTCTGTGCCTCCTCGACTGAATGTTATGGTATATAGGTCTTCCCTTTGGGGCTATCTATGATTGGCCCAGGGATTCACAGATGATGACCACACTTTCTATTATTGAGCTGTCTCAACAGCCCTCTTTTTACTTTTTATTTTGATACAGGGTCTCACTAAATTGGCCAAGCTGGCCTTGAATTCACTCAGTAGCTCACCCTTAGACTAACTTCTGGTTTTGTTTTTGTTTTTTGTTTGTTTGGTTGTAAAAGACCTCGGCATCAAAGCGCCAGGCACTGAACCGAACCCTCTGTCCAAGAACCGGGGCCAGACCACTGGCTGCAAATGCAAGAGGTGATTTATTGAGTACACAGGCGCCTGCAGATGCTACTGCAACTCGGGTGCAGAGCATACCGGGCTTGTAGGGAGTACAATATTTATAGAGTTTTAATGGTTACATAAGTAACAGGCAAAAAAAAAAAAAAGCAACAGGCATTTCATTGGCTCATCTTGGGGGCAGGGGTAGTTCCCACGGACTAAGTTTCCTGGTATTACTTTATGAAAGACCCCGGCACGATTCAGCAATTATTATCCGGGTCCCATGATTGCTATAGTGATCAGACACAATTGGGGGCCAGGGTAGTTGCCAAGGACTAGGTTTTCTAGTATTGTCATATGAAAGTTCCCAGCACGCTTCAGCAATTATTATCCGGGTCCCATGACTGCTATCACAGACATCCTGTTTTGAGGGTGAGACACCTGGTCTGGGTTTCTTTCATTAGGCAACGGCCTGGCCTTGCTTTTCTTTTCCTAGGGGGTTCTGGGTAGGGGTCTTTCAGTTGGTTTTGGTTTTTCAAGACAAGGTTTCTCTGTGGCTTTGGAGGCTGTCCTGGAACTCGCTCTGTAGAACCAGGCTGGCCTTGAACTCACGGAAATCCGCTGGCCTCTGCCTCCCGAGAGCTGGCCACCACCCCCTGCCAGTCTTGCCATTTAAGGCATTTAGGTCATTTAACGAAACCTAGGCTGGCAGTTTTTAAAACCCTGGTCCTCATTATTACTTACATGCTAACACTCAAGACTCCCTAGCCCAAACCTGAAGAAATCAACAGAGGCTGTACTCTTTGTACTTTCAAGAGAGCAGTTGCCGAGCCAGTGAACCGCTATTTGCGTGTGGAACCTTAAACGGAGGCCTCTCAACTGGATCGTTCGTGTCCCCACCCCACCCCACCCCACCCTACCCCACCCTCGCTTGTTGAAAACAAGCAGCACGCAGCGTCCACAGCATCAACAAAATATGTCTGCAGCGCCGCCCCGTAGTTCTGGGCCCCAGAGCTGCACTGAGCATGCGCTTTGTACGGGGACCTCTAGGCTGGCCTCCCTAAGACCCCGCCCCTCTTCGGCTAGTAAATCTACTTCCGTCTTCTCCGCCCGAGGCCCCGCCCACGGCCCGCAGACCTATCAAATGTAGGATTGCTGAGGCTCTGGACCAATGGCCAGGCCTTTCTTTCATCACTGCCCGCAGTTTAAAACTGTCAAGTGGATGCTAGGGTAGCCGGTAGCTTGCGTGGTTGCGGCGGCGACGCTGGGGACGCCGCAAGTGAGGAGTCGGGTCTGGCGAAGACGGTGGGTACCGGCGGCGGGGGCGGCGGCGGCGGCGGCGGCCCGGCCGGTTCCTCCCAGACAAGACCAGGGCGTCATTCCTGGAGGTGCCCAGAAGAGAGGACACAAGTGACGCGAACTGAGCTTCGTGGTTACCAGCCCAGTAGGTCCTGTCCTTTAGGATGTGGGGAGCCAGTCAAACATGAGGTTGTGTTTTACTAAGAGGGAGTTAGATTTAATGGGCCTGGATTGGAGGATCATGAAAGAAACTTGGAAGGGACTGGCGCACCCCCTCTCTTTGCATGCAGTTAGGATGGGGATGTCACCTTCCTGCCAGTGACAACGTTGGTCCGTCCTCTGTCTGCATTTGAATTCCTGGAGCCCACTTTTCAGCTAAGTTGTACCCGTGGCAAAGAGGAGCATTCAGACCATCTTGTGGTTTCTTCTTAGTTTAGAGAATATTGAGACTGTGATGAAACAATGTGTGTCACCCACTAAAGCAAGTGTCTTTCTTCTGCTTTCGTTTCTGAACCCGGAGACTGTGAGGAAATACTACTATTGTCCAGTCTCAAGTTAATTGTCATGCCTGTTTGCAAAGATCAGGGTAAATGGAAGATAACGTATTTTCCAAAATACATTTTGTGTCTGTAGTATAATTTTAAGAAACAAGTTTTGATGTCTGACCATACCACCTCATTTGTTACTGAAATAATCCACAACTCCCGACTCTGGTTTCCTATCAGTTCTGCAAAGAAATCATAAAGGAAAATGAAATGAAAACTAGAACGATTATCTCGATGGTTGGTTTGAAATAAGTGAAGCATTCACACCTTGATGCAGATCCGTGCTTACTTTATCTTCCCTAAATGGAAGACAGTCACAGCTGAGATTTAGTTTATTATCCTTTGTAGACACAGTAATACTGAACAAAACAGAAATTCCCCTTCCACAGTCTGGCTGCAACCTGGTCTTCTGTTTTGTGTCTTCCCTGTATCTGTCCCTTCTACTTCAGTGTCTTTCTCTCTTGTTTATTTTGTTAGCAAGCTGTAATTAAGGCCGATTCTGGTAGCAACTGAAACTCAGCAAATGGCACAGCAACTTACTGCTTGGCAAGTTGAGGGCCATCCGTACCCCTTTTTGGTCTATGACCCTCATGGTGCTGCCCACACAATTCCAGTGTTCTTGCTTTCTTTCTAATCATTTGATCAAGTCTTCTTTGCACCTTAAAAGTTAGCAGTTGTAGATTTAACTCTCTCCTCACGGTAGTAGTCCTTAACTTTATTAGGATTGTGATCTCTGAAATTATAGGGGAAGCTAAAAATCTTTCTAGGAAATACATGTGTTTATATTCTAAAAGTGTGTGCAATGTGTGTGTGTGCGTGCTCTCTCTCACTCAGGATAATAATTCTTTACCACACCACAATGGGTGGTCCCATTCGTTCCCCTTTGTTGAGTAAACCCCAATAAGTCAGTGCTTCCTCAATGTAAATCTTCAGCCTGCACTTGTAATGCAGGTCTCCCACCTTTAGGTTCTGTTTAGGAACCATTATTACACTCTAGCCATTGTGAATTGCAGCTCTAGGAGCTGTGTACTGAGTAGCCAGTATACCACATAACAGCCATCCCTATGCAGATTGATTCCCAGACACCTCAATCTGCAGTGCTTAAGAGACATGTGTGATACGTCATAGTGTTTGCCTATAACCTGTTACACATACCATCCTTTACACTTTAAACCACCTCCACTTACATAAATGCTGGGTAAGCAGCTGTTGCACAGTATTGTTGAGGGGATGATGATAAATAAGTCTGCATGTTCAATGCAGATGCAATTTTAAGAAATATTTTTGACCCACAGTTGACTGGACCCATGGATGTGGAACCCAGGGACACTGAAGGCTGAATGAACTGTATGCCCACTGCTTTTCCCAGTGCTTCCAAAGTGACCTCATGCCAATACACCTGGTACTGAACTCATTGCCCATTCTCCAAGTATCATCTTCCTCCATTGCTCGATTTGGTGAGTAGTAGTATGATCCATACTGGACACCTTCACTAGTCTGCACTTTCTCCTTTTAGGTGGTCGTTGATCGTGACCCCTTGTTTCCATCACTACAACGCAGCTGTCTCAGAGCCACACCTCACTTCCCCTTGCCAGTGCTGCATTCTAGTTTAGGGACCTCATGTGTCTCCTAGGTTGTGTGTGGAGATGTAGCCCTGCAGTAGAGCTCTTGCACTGACATGCATAGTTGCATATATGGGTTCAATCCTCAGCATACAAAAGTGAATAAAACAAGATTGGTCACGTCCATTGTTTAAAGCACTTAGTAAGTATCTTCAGGAATGATTCAGCCTTTTAATATGAAACATCATGATCTTAACTGTTCCTTTTTACTTCATCTTTACTCCTTTGCTTCAGCCTAGCCAAATGCCCTGGTTATTTTAGCATATACGCCACACCTCTATCTTGGCATATGCTCTGTTTTCATCTTTAGTCTGTCTTCCAGAATGGACCTGCTCATCTTTCAGATGTCAATACCTGGGCCATCTTGTCTACCTTACTGGTGTCCTGAGAGCTTGAATAATTACTATTTGTCTTTTATAGTTTTCTTTAGTTAAGACCTTTAATTTCTATGTGTATATCTTAGTAGGTTGTAATGTATAAACTTAGTTTTCTTAAAATAATATTCCCGAAATGTAAGTGTCTAAGGAAGGAGGTTTACACAAATTGTTTGACTGTCTTAGTTCATTATCTCACAGGAAAGTATGCCATCCCTGGGATAGCCCATAAGCCTGAAGAATGGTGACCACAGCTCTTCTGTCTAACAGATCCTGCAGGAGACTCTCCTGAAGTATTTTTCTTTAACCTTTTATGCATTTGGCTCATCTCTTTGAATGTATTATAAATGCACTGTTTGGAGAAAGGTGGTTTTTGGGGGGCTGATGATTCTTGTCTGTAAGATTGCTTGCAAGTTAAAGCATTGCTCACTTCTGTGTATTTAAAAGCTTTGGCTTAAGCATTACAGGAGACAGCCAAAGTTAACATGTGCTGTTTGATAGCTTCTGTGCAAGATGTCATCTGATGAGGACAGATTCTCACTTCACATTGCTCACAATGGCTCTGATCATGACAGCTGTGTCTCCACAGACCTTCAGGTAGGAAGACATCTAAATTTATTACGATTTTTTTTTTAAGCATAAAGCCCTGTGTAATGGTGCATGCCTTTAATCTCAGCACTCAGGAGGCAGAAGCAGAAGGATCTCTGTGAGTTTAAGGCAACCTGGTCCACATAGAGAGTTCCAGGACAGTCAGGGCTGCAAAGAGATACCACTACCACCACCCCAAAAATAAAGTGTTAATTTGTGACAAAACCAGACATACATTTTTACTTACTTACAATGAAATATTGCATTTATGATATTATCAAACTTAGAGAACTCTCTACTAATTTGGGGAGTATATTGTTTTAAGTTTTCAGAAAATAGCCATGAACTGTTCAAAAGCTTTTCTAAAAAGGCTTTAACACAGCAAAAAATGAAAAACTGTGAAATTTTCCCATTTAACTGTCTCTGCTGAATGTCCTCATTCTTAATGTAAAGTAACAGAACATCAGCCCATCTGAAGTTCTAGAGCTCAGGATTCTCCCATGTTCTGTGCAGTGAGGTTCTAGATCCTGTTGCCACAACATTTGGCATAATCTGCCACCTTGATTGGATACTGACAGACAAGTTAGGAGGTGAACTAGGTAAGGTGTCTTATTTACATGAGTCAAATCCCAAAGACTGTGTTTTCTAACTACCTTAGCTTCAAGGGAGGTAAGAGAAATAAGAGACCATTTGCCCAGGTCAAACCCTGGGGCTTATTAATGTACAGGAATAAAGGAGAAATGGGTACTCACGGTCCATTAGCAAGTCAACTTGGAATTCTGTATATTATTTTATTAGGGTCAACTCACATTTAGTTTTATAGAAACCAATGAATGCCTTGTATCTTATCCACATTTATTGAGTTAGGGTTTTCTTTTATTTCTTTTTAATAACTGAAAAACTTGGGATTTCCTTTTATTTTAACAACCAGGTATAACTATAGTTCTTTTAATTTAAGAATATCAGCAAAATTAAGCAAGCTACCCCTGTGAGTATGGATTTGAAACTAGGGAAAGCAAATCCCTGTGTAGTTTCTTAAGCGTGAGGATCCAGTTTGCTTCTTTTGAGTTACATAATAACAAGAGAATTCTGGTGCCTTGTGTGCTGGTACATGCCTGTGACGCAAGCACTCAGGCTTAGCCAGGAAAACGGCAGGCATAATAGAAACCTGGGCTACAAAGCAAGTTCTAGCCTGGGGAATATAGGGAAATCCTGCCTCAAAACAAGAACGGAAGGAAGGGTGAAAGTTAAGAAGTGGAGAGAGAAAATATAATCTGGGTCTCAATGTAAGTACTTGAAATTGAAAGTGATAGTGTTTTAGCAGCATGTCTTATCTTCAGTTAAATTGATATGAAACATAAGAAAAAAGAGGTAGAAATATATTGAATTGCTAATATCCATTATATCTTTTAACTTTTAACTGTAAATATAAAAGTCATACCAGAAGTACTCAAAGGTCTCAAGCTTAGCATAAGAGATAAATTTTTCTGTGTTGTGATAAGAACATGACTATTATGTGGTTAAGTAGATTTCTCTTTTTTTTTTTTTTTTTTTTTTTTGGTTTTTCGAGACAGGGTTTCTCTGTGGCTTTGGAGGCTGTCCTGGAACTCACTCTGTAGACCAGGCTGGTCTCGAACTCACAGAGATCCGCCTGCCTCTGCCTCCCGAGTGCTGGAATTAAAGGCGTGTGCCACCGACGCCCGGCTAAGTAGATTTCTTAACACAACAAAAAGTTGAGTGTTTGGATGCAGCATTGTGGCTGTCATAATACATCACTGTTATTGACTTCTCATAGGAAGAATATGAAGAACTGCTTCGCTATGCTATTGTAAATCCAAATGTTGAGTCCAGTGCTTCACAGCCGTCTCATCCGAAGGGAGAAGTGGTGCCAGATAGATTTACTACGCTAGCAGGTACGCTTTGCTGACCAGGTTAGGTACAGTTGTCAGAATAGCACGTAGGATCCCAAGTTTGGCGGTGATGGTGATGGTGATGGGGCCTGCCTTACATTTACTGTGTTGTTCGTGGCACTTTTGACAACTAGATTTTTATTTAAACTTCAGTTGACTTTTAACTTTATGAAAATTACTAACATCAAAGCAACCCAGTAGTGATTATCTCTTAGTGGAATTTACTATACCCCAGTTCTTGATCCAAGAGTTTTATGCAGAATTACTTTGAAAACTAAATGCCCAAGCCCATCTTTAAAGATGAAGTTACTCTGTGAACGACATATTGTCAGCAGTATTTATGATTTGGATTATAGCCCAAAGGTGGACCTTTGTGACTGTCAGCAGTAGATCTGATATCTGATACAAGCCAAGTTATGCTTAATAGAGGGGTTAAAGTAGAAACAGAAGGAAGTTCCTTTTACCTCTTCACTCCTTATTTAGTAAATTACAGTCTCAAACAGCTCATTCTGAATAAGTGCTCTTGTTTTTCATGTATTTATTCATTACATGTGTATGCCAGCAGGGGTCTGTTCTTTCCTTCCACTGTTTGGGTTCTAGGGATTGAATTCACATCTTCAGGATTAGCAAAAAGCTTCTTACCCACTGAGCCATCTCATGGGCCCTGAATAAACATTCTTTGAGAGGGCTGAGACAGCATTGTGGGCAGTCATCATACAGTTGGCTTGCCTCAAAGCATAACTGTCCTTGAGGGTGCATTTCACAACCCACACAGAGGCAAAGGGCTCCTGGGTTTCCGCTGAGTCACAGCTTTAGTGTCTGGTCCTCATTCCCTGTTTGTAGATCCCCGACCCCACAGCGTGTTCCTATCTTTAGACTACTACACTGGAGCAATAGATAGAACTGTAGGACCATGACTTCAAATAAATAATTTACTGTGGTAGAATCTTTTTCTACCCAAATTTCAATTCCTTTACTTGGGTTTACTCATTATACATCAGACTGTCAGTCATATTTTGGTTACACTGAGTACCTTAACATACAGTTCCTACTGACCAAACTAAAGTACTGCAGACAATTAATATAAACAGGCAAGGGCTGGGAAGAGAGCTCACAGGTCAAGTGTTTGCCATGTAAGCTCGAGGATTCCCAGAGCACATGTAAAGCCAGTACAGTAGTATAAGTCTGTAATCATCGTGTTCCTACTGGCGGGGGGAAAGGCAGAGACAGGAGAATCCCCAGAAGTTCACAGGCCAGATAGCTGGCCTTCACGGCAGTGAACAACAAAGAGACCCTGCCTCCTACACCGTGTAAAGAGGTAAAGAGAGCATCTCCACAAATGTGCCATGGCACGTGCGTGCTCCTCACATAGGTACACTGACTCTGTCTCTGTCTGTGTGTGTGTGTGTGTGTGCGCCCACGCTCTATAGAGATTATATCTATATATTAAATAGATACACAGAAAGTAAATAGTGTCCTCAAACAAAGGAGTACAATTGGGCAATAAATACATGAAAAATAATGGGTCTCTGTTTTAATCAGGGAAAATGCAAATCAAAACCATATTGCGATTCCCATCTCACCCCACAGAAAAGCTATCATCCAGAATCCAAAAACAACAAATGCTGGTGGAAATACTGGTAAAAGATAGATCCTTACACGCTGCTGATTGGGAGTGTGAACTCTGCAGCCACTAGGAGAGTCACTGTGGAGATTGCTTTCAAATCTAAATGGACACAAGTTATGAAAAATGATTTAAAGTTAGTTGTTTTTCTAGTTCTAAGTCTGCCATGGATTTTTTTTTATTTTGATGGTAGATAAGTGCATAAAATATATTCAATACTGAAAGTATAAATTTTAATGTGGAGCTTCACAGCTTCCATTCTGAATGCCAATTCTAAGTGTATTGTGTTGTATAGTGTTTGAGCCTAGTTAATTTTAGTGTGTGATTTTATTTGCAAGGTTTTTTTTTTTAAATAAAAAGTTTATGGAATGTAAAAGATAAGCTAAAACTAACCATGTGACCCAGCTATATGCCCCTGGGTATACACTTAAGGAAATCCAAGCTATAAAAACAGAGGACAATGGAAGACTGTTCAGTCATGAAAAAATAATCATGTTGTTTGCAGAAAAATTAATGGAACCTTAGAATCATCCAGTTAAGCAAAACAAACCAGGCTTCGTGTTTTTTCACATGTGTAGAATATGGATTTTTTAAATTTATTTAAGGCATAAAAGTAGAAGGAGTGCTATTTAAAGGGAGAGGACCAGAGGAGCAGGAGGAGCAGCAGAGTAAGGAAAGGATGTGTATGTTATCTGCATGCCTGAGAATGTCACAATGAAGCCGATGTCTTGTACAGCGCGTACGCGTGTTCTATTTTAAGAAGTTCAGTTTTATTTTTAAAAACCTTTTTTTTTCTTTTTTTTGGGGGGGGCAGGAAATAACCCTTTAAAAGAAAGTACAGTCGATGCTGCAAAAGGATGTGATATTTCCAGCCATTCAAAATCAGGTGGGATGACATTTCGTGCGTTTGTTTCATTAATTATAGTATACTATCAGGAATAATGTCAGCATATTACTTAATAACCAGACTTTTAAAATGCTGTTGTTGCTAGTTTATGTGATAATATTTAAATCTTGGGCAATATCATTACAGATGGTCTTTCAAGCTCTTAGGTTACATGATTCTATTTTGTAAATGGTGAATATATATATATATTTTCCTCAACAATAAAAGCACAGAGCCTATTGCACATGGTGATGGAATATGTTTATAATCCTGCTACGTAAAATATTGAGACAAGAAGATAACCAGTTTAAGGCCAACTTGGGCTACATAGCCCCTATCTCATAAAAGCAAACAAAAGGAAGAAAGCAAATATATATATTACATAGCAAATATTACAACTTAGGGAATAATTTTCCTTCTTAAAAGGAGTTCTGGAAAGATTTGCTTTTAAATAACAAGTCATTCTGCAAAAAAGAGAGGAAAGCCCTTCAGTCCTGGTTACTAGAATCTTTATAGTTAGTGTGGAATACATGAAAAATGGTGATGGATGATGTCTAATTCTAGTAAATCTGTGATAGAATATTGACTTTTATATCTTTTGCTTTTTAGAGATAGAGGCCAGTTGTCTATCTGGTTCTGGCTCTCTCCCACTCACTGGGTAATGGCAAGCGATGGGAGATATATATGTAGATTGTTGTTGTACATATTTCTCATCCATAGTGTCTGATAAACTAAATGACTAGGCCCTTTATATTGTCAGATCTTAGTAATGTTAAGGCCTGTACCAGCGCTGAATATAAAGCAATAGTGATCTGTATACAACCACCCTCCTGTAGTTGGTTAATTCTCTGAACCTTGGTTTTTTTCCTTAAGGTTGAGAACATACCTACCTCTTAGGATGACAGGTGTGAGCTAACCCTTAAACATTTTATCACAGAAACATACAAACACTTTGTTAACATTAATGTGATGGTGTGTCTTTCAGTCCATACTGGACTAGATATGACACATGCTTGTTTGTGAAGGGTGGAAGAGGGTTGGGGGCATCTCATGCCCGTCAAACCTCAGTCAATGACAGTACTAATACCACAATTAGCCATACTGAGGTATACATCAAGGGTAATGTCTCTGTGTTTTCCTCAGCCTCCAGAGTTGAGACATCTTATAGCCTTCTAATATTATTTTGCACGTTGAAGCATTTTCCATTTGACCTGGCCGCTACTTTCCTTTCTTCTAGGGTCATCACCAGCTTTGTCACCCAGGAAGCCCTCTCACCCAGTCATGGAGTTTTTCAGTTCACATCTTTTAGGTGACTCTTCCTCACCAGCCTCTACCTGTACTCGTACAGATGCCCATGAAATAATTGTGGGCGATCATCTTGTTTCTGATGAAAATCTTCAGAAGGTGGAGAATGTCCTTGACCTCTGGAGTTCAGGTCTTAAGGTATTGCCCTTGCTCTATGGCAGTGTACGCTGTAGTCTGATACCTGAGCCTACTAGTCTGATCCATCCAGGGTCTTATATTTATGCTTCTAAGTCTTTAGTGCATATGTGAACTGCGTCTTGTTAAACTGTGGGTTGGTAGTCAGTGTGTTTTAGGTCAGGCCTAAGATTACGTGTTACTGTTAAGCTCCCAGCTATTTGGGAGGCTGAGATTGGATGATCTTTTGTGTTTAAAAAATATATACTTTACCAATGTGTATTAATTTTATAGAAGCCACATATGTCTGAAGAATCTGTGAAAATATTTTTGTTTGGTGATGTTAATAACCTGCCAATAAAACATTATTACAGAATTGAGCTCAGGTCTTATAGAAGAGCAGCCAGTACTCATAACTGCTGAGCCATCTCTCCAGCCCCACCTAATCTATTTTAGTATGGACATTTAAGTCTATAACTACACAAAGGAATTTAGTGAATGAATCCTGAATTTTTTTAAATGTCATAAGATTTCATACAAAGTAACATAAAATGGGAGAAAAAGTAATTTCCTTGATATGGTGAGTGAACTGTGAAGAGCCAGAGCTGTTGAACTTACAGACATCATTTATTAGTGTGTTGTGAGTTTTTTTTAATAGCTCTTGTGTTGACCTGATCTTTTTTAATGCTTATTTTCAATTTAATTTTAAGAGTGGTTTGAAAGAACAAATGACTTATGTTCAGTATGTTTTCTTTCCAGACAAATATTATATCTGAATTAAGTAAATGGAGACTTAATTTTATTGACTGGCACCGAATAGAGATGAAAAAGGAGAAGGAAAAGCATGCGGCGCTTGTAAAGCAACTGTCGAACCAGATCAATGACTTGAAGGAACTGCAGAAAGCCTTTGAGATCTCCCTCGGGAGAAAGGATGAGGTTCTCTTTTCTATGCCTCCCTTTAAGTGAGACTCAGCAGACTGTCAGTAGACATACAATTCTGAGAACTGTGCTTGTCCTGCTCCCATAAGACAGAAAGAGAAGCTAAGCACACAGCCATGGGGTTTATTCTTATTAGACACGAGTGTAGTGGGGTTCTGTCCTGAGCTCTGGCTTTGGTGTTTCTTGATGATTTAAGAGCCTGCTCAGTGTAGATGTAGACATACATACTAGGCTTTCCTACATGACCATTAACATCAAGGAGCCAGCATTACCTACATTCTTCATCCTTGCAGATGACAGTATAATAAGCATCTCAGATTCTATCAGTGAAATTTATTTGTTCATTGATGAAGATAAACACAGAAAGTGTTCTTCACTTCCTCTTGGCTTCTTAAAAACCTGAGGGTAGAGTTCAAACTGGTCTGAGTTTTTTTGCCTCTTGATCCCTTCTTAAGCAATAGTGGGCAGTGAGTCTGTACTCTGCTGACTCACATCTGTTTATGGATGAGAATGTGTTCGCTGTCACCCAGGTACTTGGGGCAGATGCCTCAGCAGCTTGCCCCAGTCAGATAAAAAGTGACAGGTTTATTATTTCTTGACTTTTTGAGACAAGGTCTCACTGTGTGGCCTAGGCTAGCCTCGAACTCAGTGTGTAGCCCAGGCTGCCCTCTCAACTGGAAGTCCTTCTGGCTATCTCCCAGCTTTGGGGATTATAGACATAATGCACACAGCAGGCAAGAAGATGGTTTTCAGATGTACATTGTTACTGGTATATACTGGTACAATATAAAATCAAACATTTTTGTGTAGTTTGCTTTGTTTGAAACATTGTCAGGCATTTTATCTGTTATCTTCAAAACTTCTAATTTTTCTGACCTTGAAGTATTGTACAAAATGAGTATGCTTACTTTCTGTTTATGAAAATGGATAAAATGGACAGCCGTGTATTCATTTAAGACATAGAATGTAGTGGACACTTAGACTGCCCTTCCCTATTTAGAAAGGGAAAGCAAAGCTGGGCGTGTTATGCGTGTGACCTCTGTATAAGAGGTAGAGGCAAGGAGGGTCACAGGTTCAAAGCCAGCTGGGAACCAGCAAGACTCTTGTCTAAAAGGGAAAACATAAACTAGGACTCAGGGTCTTACAAGTGTGGTTTACGGGGCCATTTCAATGTGTCTCATTTCAGATACATCTCAGTAATATAATTCTCTGAAAAGAGTTTATTTCAGGGTTACATGCTTTTTTAAGGATAGTAATAACAGCATTCAAGAAAACCATTAAAACAGCTATTACTTTTATAAATTTGTTGAAACCACAAAATAATTAAATACTGAGAAACTTCTATATCCAAGGTAGTTGCAAGGACTAGGAAGACATTTCAAACCAGGCTCTTTCATAAGTCAAGTAAAGACTTTCTAAATATGTAAACAAAACTTTCAAATGCACAATTATCTTCATGAGGCAAATGTTATAAGTGTGTTGATCCTTATGCATGTGAACTTTACTTGGGAATAACAAGATATTTGCACAATGAGGATTTCTTTCCCTCTTTCCCATCATTAATTGATGCTATATTCACGTGGGAAACATGGTCTTTGTAGTAATAGTCTATGCTGAGCATGCTGGCATATGCCTGCAATTCCAGCTCTCAGGACTCTAAGGTAAGAGGAGGAATACAAGTCTGAGTCACAAGCCTAAGCTACATAGTGAGACAGTGCCAAAAACCAGAAAGGAAGATGAGCTAATTAATGAACAGAGTCGATACCCATAACTGTTCTCTATAGCATGTTTACATGAGAACATCACTTTATGAAAATGAATAAACTGAGCAGCCAGGCACCACCTAGCTTGAGACACAATAAAATACATAAGGATGGATGTGTGTCCTTTGCACAAGTTGTTGCTGCTGTCATAGTATCACAGTAACTGGGTTACTATTGTTTGCAGGTGATTTCCAGCTTGTCTCATGCTATCGGCAAGCAAAAGGAACGGATAGAGTTAATGAAAACTTTCTTCCACTGGCGAATTGGCCATGTCAAATCAAGACAAGAAGTAAGTATAAAAAAGATGACTACTGCCAGGTATTAGACTTCCAATTAGAGAGACTTTAAGGTGAACTACTAGAACTCTTGCTAAAATCAAGATTTGATTTCTAATGAGTCAGTATAAATTAGGTTGTAACATTGCTCTGATTTCAAAGAATTTTGATTTTGATGCATTTAGAACAATACATCTCAGATTGTATTGACGTAGGACATACATATTATGACAGATGAGCCATGTGCTGCTTCATTGTAGTCTAATAAGGATTGTACCTAACATTAGTACCTTGGTAATGAAACTGTAAGACACCTAGTCTCGGAAGTGGTTATTTGGAAAAAATTTATAGCCTTAAACAGGTCATCTGCTTCCTCTATTGTTTTTGTTTCTGATATACCTAACAACATGTAACAACATGTATGTGTAGTCCCACCTACTCAAGAGACTGACACAGAGGAATCACTTTATCCCAATGTGTAAGCCCAGCCTGGACAACATAGCAAGACACTGGCTTTAAAAGAAATGTTAATAATAATAAATACCTAAGTACAACCTCATCATAGACAGACATTACTATAATGGTACATAAAATGATGCAAAGTAAATACTGAAACAGTATATATCAAAAATAGTGATATTTGTTCTTTATTAAGTTAATACAGAACAGCACATTACTAAGGCCAGACATATTTGTATGCGCTGTGATCACAGCAATTGAGAGGCTGAGGCAGAAGGATTGTGAATTGTCAGCTTAGCATGCATAGCAAGACTGTTTGAAAGGACAAAACACTGTTAAAAGAGCTCAAGAGGGGCTGGAGAGAAAGCTCAACAGTGGAGTGCATGCAAAGGGCCTCAGTTCCCAGCAGCCACATCGGGTGGCTCATAACCAACTAACTCCAGGGATCCACCACCTTCTGGCTTCTGGGTACCTGCACTCAAGCACACAGACACACATATACACAACACTCAAAATAAATACTTCGTTTAAAACATAGAAAAATATGAGTATGTATATGCCACAAAAAGAAAGGATGTAGAAATCTCTGATTATAGAAAATGAGTAAAGAGATAAAGGAAATGAATATAGAGAACATAAGCTACATTTACATAGCTGTGCAGTAGTCCTAAGAGATTAATGCTTAAGGAGAAAATTATCCTGCATCTCCTTTAAGAGTACCTTGTATTAATCCAGATGGATCAAATACACATTCACCACATTGAAACAAGCTATCAAGGGGTTGGGGACATGGCTCAGTCAGTACAGTGAAAGCACGAGGGTCTGGGCTCACATCCCTAGCACCCAAATCAAAGCCAGGCATAGCAACACTGAGGCGCTGGGGAGGATGGAGGATCCCTCCAACTCACTGGCTGCCCTAGCAGAATGGGTCTCTAAAAATAAGGTGGAGAAATCGAGGAAGATAACCTACATGGACCTCTGATCTACACACATACACATGTATACATGCCCATGTGAGCATGCACACATCACACAAAGGTGACGGACGAACCGATGGATGGATGATGGATAGGACTCTAAAATGAGTGTGTCATAATTTAAAAATGTATTAAGTGACACATGATAAGAATATGTATTTTTAAATGTGGTTAGAATTGTCAAGTTGCCATCACTTTTGAATAGTATTTTAATTTTAAGAAAATTAGGAAGTGAACTACTTGACAAGCATTCACTGATAGAAGGAGAATAGTTTGTTTCTTTGTTCAGCTTGGGTGACAATGTGAGTTAAGTAACTGTCTCCAGCAAACGAAAAGGAAAGTAGTACCGCCTGAGCCATGGCCACCACCCTTTTACCTTCCAGCAGTTCTGTCCCTGCTTTCAGCTAATGGTCATGCAGAGTTTCAACTGAGGTGGCAAGTTTCCTGTTTTTCCTTTGAGAAGCTATGTTCAGCTGTGATGTCATGGCTAGAGCACAGGTTCTAGAACCAGGCGAGCCTGACTACTTCTTCCTGCCTGTGTGGCCAAGCTGGTTACTGAACCTCTCTGAGCCAGTTTCCCATGTGCAACAGTGTAATTGTACAGGATTAGTAATAACCACTGTGTACTTCCCACTGTTCCATTTTTTTGTTACACTCCCCATATATTTACCAGTTCTCTGTGGTTCTGAGGTTGGTGTTGCTTTTGTTCAGGTCTATGAAGGTAAGCTGGCTGACCAGTACTTCCAGAGAACTTTGCTGAAGAAAGTCTGGAAGGGCTGGCGTTCTGTGGTACAGAGGCAGTGGAAAGAGGTGTTAGAACGGGCCTGCCAAGCGAGGGCTGAAGAAGTCTGTGTGCAGATCTCCAATGACTATGAAGCCAAACTTGCTATGGTAAGCTGCTCTTTAAGCAAAAACACGGCCCACAGAATCAACAGGGCTCATAGGGGCTCACAGAAACTGAAGTGACAATCACCAAACCTGGGTGGGTCTGAACTGGGTCCTCTGCATCATGTTATGGTTGTGTAGCTTGATGTTCTTCTGGGACTCCTAACAGTGAGAGTAGGAAGTACCTCTGACTCTTTTGCCTGCTCTCGGGACTCTCTTCCTCCTACGGGATTGCCTCATCCAGCCTTGCTATAAGGGTTAGTGCCTAGTCTTATAACTTGTACTGTGTTTTGTTGATATCCCTGGGAGACCTGCTCTTTTATGAAGGGGATTGGATCTGGGGTAGAGGAGGATTGGTGAGGGACTGGAGGGAGTGGAAGGAAGGGAAACTGATCAGGGTGTGATATATGAGAGAAGAACAAATAAAAAAATAAGACTTCTACTTTGTATAGCAGAATTATATAGACTTACTATAAGTTAGGCTACGATTTTTTAGTGTCCAAGAACAAAAATTTAAAGATGTTTATCTTTCTTAATTTAAATAAACTCTTATCCTATGTAACTTTGATATAAAGCAAATGTATATGCACTGAATTATTTTTCCTTTGACATTCAATAATAGAATTCACATTGTAAAGGGAAGAGAAAACTATAGACATATGGAATACAGAGGGCCTTTTGAAATCATACTAAAAGGAAAAAGAAAGTTTTTCTTATAACACTAAGTAGTATTAAAAAATTAATTTTACAGAGCTAGAGAGACGTCTCAGTCAGTAAACTGCTTACCTTGTGAACAGGAGAAACCGAGTTCAATTCTCAGAGTCTACTTTGTTAAAGAGATAGGCTCAGTGCTGTGTTCTTGTAATCCCAGCACTGCAGAGACCAAGACAGGAGGCTCCCTGCCTAGGCAAATCAGTGAGTCCCATACCTGTGAGAGATCCGCCTCAGAAAACAGGGTGGACAGGAACCAAAGAAAACACCTGAGGTTGATCTCTGACCTCACATGCACACACACATACATACACATGCATCCTCACATACATGCGTACAAACACATGCAAAAATAAATAAATTTTATAATATGATTTCTACAGTTCATAGTAGCATGCGGAAAAGATGTAGTCTTTAGATTTGGTCTATGGGAAAGTGTGTTTTACCAAAATTCACTGTGAACTTTATATTCTGTAATTAAAATTTTCTTTTCAAAAATTCTGTTAATATTATAAGAATTTTAGTTCGTTTTTCCTCTCAGAGGAATATGTGTCATGTATGGCTTATATGAATTTATTTTATTTGCTATCTTGCATAAAAGTTGTATAGTTTAAAAAGGAACAAAAGAGCCACATTTTTGCTGGACATGGTAGCATATACATGTAATGTGAGCACTTGGGAGGTAGAGATAGAAGGATGGTTTCAAGGTCATCCTTGACCAGTTAGAGACCAGCCTGGGCTACATAGGACCCGTCTCAAAACATTAAATACGTAGATAAATAGCAAAGAATAACATAAGTCTGTTTTTTGACAATAATATTCTGGCTTGTATTTCAACTCTCTCCCTCTGTGTAATTCTTTAGTTATCTGGAGCTTTGGAAAATGCAAAAGCTGAGATTCAAAGAATGCAACAAGAAAAAGAGCACTTTGAAGACTCCATGAAGAAAGCGTTCATGAGGGGGGTGTGTGCATTAAACCTGGAAGCCATGACCATATTTCAGAACAAAAACGATGCAGGTGAGTAGTTTCTGGAGTTTTCTCTGCTTAGTTTCAGAAGGAACTTGAGGGGAATGAATGACAGTTTCTGTTCTTCAGTGAGTGTGCCTTGTCTCTACATTTCTCAGTTGTACTTTCATAGGCTCTTGCCCCACTGGAAATCCACCATAATAGTTAGTTTATTCATTGTCCTGGTGCTTGAGAGCTGATGAATGGAATTCCCAATCCTTACTTAAGCTCACTGTCATATTGATTCCTTCCTTCCTTTTACTTATTCATCCATTTATTTGAGACGGCATCTAACTATATAACCCAAGTTGACCTCAAATTCATGTCCTGCTTCAGCCTTCTGAGAACTGGAATTTTAGACATGCATCACCAAGCACAATCAAAATAATGCTAATTTTTAATTTTAACAGTTACCATCTTGAGGTCGTCTTAACTAATAATTTTAATGACTCTAAACATGAAATTTCTATTTTCTTTTTTGCACACATTTCATGGACAAGTTCATTGATTAAATGTTCCTAACCTAGTCATAGTTTCCTAAAATCTGTTTTATCAGTAAAATAATTTTTTTAAGTCTATGTAATACCTGGAGTCTCTTTGTAATAGTTTTGTCTGCATGGATTAGAACACATAACCACAACCATTTGCTACCAGATTATGATGGGATCAGTTCCTTCATTGAGTTTTAGACCCCCTTATCCAAGCAAAGCCCATGTCATACCTGCTTCAGAGGACTCTTTTTTTTTTTTTTTTTTTTTCCTTTGGTTTTACGAGACAGGGTTTCTCTGTATTGTTTTGGAGGCTGTCGGTCCAGCCCGGCCTCGAACTCACAGAGATCCGCCTGCGTCTGCCTCCCGAGTGCTGGGATTAAAGGCGTGCACCATCACCGCCCGGCGCTTCAGAGGACTCTTATAGAAAGGCAGTGAAGGAACAGAAGGTACTCTCTAAGACGAGAGGGTTGTGTAAGACACTGTTTTCATCTTAAGTCGTCTCCCAAGCTCATACAAGTACCCAGGCTCTTCTTCAGTTATCCTAATATTACATCCAACTGGGGCACTCTGCTAGTAAATCAGAGATGGCTTCGTGTTACACTGTGATTTGATTACACTCGTGAAAAATGTATCTGTGCTTGGCTTGCCTTCATCTTAAAGTGTCACCAAACATTTATTGTTTAAGGTACAAAGGTGCTGGGTGGTAGTGTTTGTGTACATCTTTCTATCAGAATTAACCATGGCCTGTGTCCATATACAGGTAGACAGCAGCAACTTAGAATGACGAAATCTCAAGCATGACTAGTGTATCTCACTAATACCCAAATAGTTTGGTCACCACACTAACCAGTTATTTCTTGCTTTTTTCGTCATATTTATGTATTTATCTGTTTGGGGAAATGAGGGCATGTGTAGGCCATGGCACACATGTGGAGGTCCGGGACAGTCCTGCAGTTGAACTCAGGCCATCATGTTTAGTGACAAGCACCTTTGCTGAAGGAGCCATCTTACCCGCTCCCATAAATCTTATGGGAGCTTTTGTGACAAAGGCAGAGCATGATAATAAAACTAAAACTCTATTTGGGAGTTAGTTTATTTATGAGAGTTTGATTTCATTAAAATAATTTCAGTCCATAAAAACTTATCTAGTTTTTGTGCCTTCATTTTAAAACATCCTTAAAATGATGAATATATTGTTTTCAAGCAGTTTTAGATACAGTTTTAGTGAGAAAGATGCCCCCTGTGAATAAAACTTCATAAATGACCCTTCATCAGTAAGAGCTGGTCACCTGCCTGTTCACACCTGACCTTTTCTCTGATTTTAAGTCATGGATATCTGCCATACAAAGTTACTTTCTGCCAAAGACACGTTAAACCTTTGTGGGAGGGTTGGGGGATGCATGCGTGCATGTATGTATGTGTGCAGTTTTCAATTTATAAGTGGTATTTTATGTGAAATAGTTGCTTTCACCAGAGTTGGAAGGATCTTTGAACTTCAACCATTGTTAAGCTTTAACAAGGTCACTATTACTATGTATAATGTGCATATCACTGAAGGCCAGGCATCTGGATGGAAAGAAGGCATGTAGAAACTCGGTAATACAGTGTCTTTCTCAGTGTCTACAGCATTTCCATACCTTTTCAAATCCAAAGATAGTTCAGGTTAAAAATAGCCAAATTCTAAGTCTAAGGGGAAAATGCCAGAAACTGGGTGAAGGCCCCTGTCCTACCTTCTGAATGTTGACTCCATTCGCTCCTTGATCAGGGATGGGTCCCTTTGTGAGAGAGCCAGAGTCCCTACGGCTAGTTCAGCAGGCAGGTGCTTTTTGCTCATAATTTGTCTCATTTATTTATGACTTGCTAAAATAATCAAGAGGGAAAAAACACCTTGTTTTATATGTATGCATGTATATGTATATATATTTTGGTTGTAAGCCTAGCCTTTAACGGCTGAGCCATCTCTCCAGCCCATATGTGTATGTATGTATGTATGTATATATATATATTTATTTATTTATTTATTTATTTATTTAAATTAGAAACAAGGTTGCTTCACATGTCAATCCCAGGTCCCTCTCTGTTTCCCTCCCCTCCTCCCATGCCCTCCCACCAACCCCCCAATATCCCCTCATTTCCCCAGGGAGGGTGAGGCCCTCCATGGGGGTGTCCATAATCTGTCATTTCATCCAGGGCAGGGCCTAGACCCTCCCCCAAGAGTTCAGGGTGAGAGTGCATCTCACATTGTTGGATGGGAGTCCAAAGTCCATTTGTATACCTGGGATAAATACTGATCTACTACCCAAGGCTCAACAGATTACCTAGGCCTCCTCACTGACACCCACATTCAGGGGGTCTTAATCAGTCCCATGCTGGATTCCCAGGCATCAGTCTGGGATTCAAGAGCTAACCCTTGTCAGGTCAGCTGTTTCTGGGGGTTAAACCAGCCCAGTCTTAATGCCTTTGCTCATCAGTCCTCCCTCTCTGTCACTGGAGTTCGGCTCAGTACTTAGCCGTGGGAATCTGCTTCTTCTTCCATCAGCCACTGAACGAAGGTTCTGTTTCCCAGACTCTCTGGCCATGGGATTGTAGGCTGGCACTCCCCAGATCTATGTCTAAAATCCATATATGAGAGAGTACATGCCATGTTTCTCTTTTTGTGACTGGGTTACCTCACTCAGGATGGTTTCTTCTAGTGCCATCCATTTGCCTGCAAATCTCAGGATTCCATTTTTTTTTCTGCTGAATAGTACTCCATTGTGTAAATGTATCACATTTTCTCTATCCACTCTTCGGTTGAGGGGCATCTAAGTTGCTTCCAAGTTCTGGCCATTACAAATAATGCTGCTATGAACATAGTAGAACAGATGTCCTTGTTGTATGAATGGGCATCTTTTGGATATATGCCTAAGAGTGGAGTTGCTGGGTCTTGTGGTAGGTTTATCCCCATTTTTCTGAGGAATCTCCATACTGATTTCCAAAGTGGCTGAAAAGTTGGCACTCACACCAGCAGTGAAAGAGTGTTCCCTTTCTCCACATCCTCTCCAGCATAAATTGTCATTGGTGTTTGTGATTTCAGCCATTCTGACAGGAGTGAGATGGTATCTCAGAGTTGTTCTGATTTGCATTTCCCGGATGGCTAAGGACGTTGAGCACTTTCTCAAGTGCCTCTCAACCATTTTAGACTCCTCTATTGAAAATTCTCTATTTAGTTCTGTACTCCACATTTTAATAGGGTCCTTTGGTGTTTTGGAGACTTTTTTCTTGAGTTCTTTGTAAATTTTGGAGATCAGCCCTCTGTCAGATGTGGGGTTAGTGAATATTTTTTCCCATTCTGTGGGCTGCCTTTTTGTCTTACTGACTGTGTCCTTTGCCTTACAGAAGCTTCTCAGTTTCAGGAAGTCCCATTTATTAATTGTTGATGTCACTGTCTGTGCTACTGGTGTTATGTTCAGGAATCTGTCTCCTGTACCAATTCGTTCAAGGGTACCACCCACTTTCTCTTCTAAGAGGTTCAGTGTGGTTGAGGTCTTTGATCCATTTGGACTTAAGTTTTGTGCATGGCGATAGACATGGATCAATCCGCATTCTTCTACATGCCAGTATCCAGTTATGCCAGCACCATTTATTGAAGATGCTTTCTTTTTTCCATTGTATATTTTTAGCTTCTTTGTCAAAGATCAGATATTCATATGTGTGTGGGTTAATATCAGGGTTTTCAGTTTGATTCCTTGTTTTTGTCAGAACAGAAGTAGTAGTTGAAATGCTCTAAAGCAGGCCCTTTGTCAGGATGGCTGTTTGGAGTGGGAGCGGCTGGAGACCCTCCCACCCTGTGTGCCCACAGATGTTACTACAGTGCTATGTTTCGGTAGCAGTACACCTTGCCAGGCTCCGGCGGAGCACGTAGTTGATTCTTATCTTGTATGTAAGAGCTGGTCATTTGTTAGCTTTCACATCCTGAAGCTTCCACCTCATCTGAAGTTGACATTAGCCACTTAATGCTGACACTATATTAAGTGACCAGTAAACCCCCAAGATGACAAATACCTGCATTTTCGTTAGAGCTCTATTTTAGCCATTAGTCTTTTCCTTTTTTGGAGGGTTTTAATCTTAGTTCGGGCTACTGTTAATAGAATGGATTTGTAATTTGTAGGGATAGACTTCACAAATAATAAGAAGGAGGACAGTGGCCCTGGTGGTCCAGGAAGAGAGCTTTGTGCTCATTTGGATACTTCTTCATCTACGATGCCTTCAGCAGTTCCGTCGCAGCTACTGCCATCTGCAACAGCAGCAGCAGGAATAGCCAGCGTCACGGCCATTCCCTCTGCCACTTCCATGACCTCTGCGGGAGCCACATCTGCCTCTTCGATTCATGTTCCTGTCTCTGTCCTTGGTGCAGGATCTGCAGCTGCTGCTGCCCCGGAAGAAATGGTGAGTACCGTTTGTGCAAGCACTGCCCTGGGAAAGGCTTCACAAGCGTGTGTGTCTTGTTATAGTGTTTGTAGTCCTTCATTTTTCATATTATGTAGTGCTAAGGAGCTAACCCAGTCAAGCTCTCATCCCCAGAGCTGTAAATGGAGTGTGGAGAACACAGAGAAAAAGGTTAGTGTGATACTTGACCAACTCACAAAAAGTATGTAAGACAGACGGTGGCTAAAGTTAATTTGTAGTGAAGGTAATCCAAAAGTACTATTGTAGAAAAACAGGTTTTGTTTGAGAAAGCAAACTAGTGGGTATTTCCAAGGGCTTAGGAGGCCCCGAGGTATTTTCTACCCTTTTCTCCTAAGTGACCCATCATGCACAAGTGATTGCATATTTGTTGTTCTTTTGTAACCTGCTGAGACGAGAAGAGGGACAGTCTTTCCTCCAGTCATTAGAGATGGGGACTGAGCAGGACGGAGAGTTTGTGTGCAGTGTGTGTTTGAGGTAGTTAATGAAGCTATTGACGAGCCCATTGAGAGGGAACAGCGTACTAACAGACAGCCACAAACCTGTCAGACTCAGCTCTGCAGCCCTCTTCCTGTCCAGTGTCACTTCCACTCCAAGGGATGTGACATATAGAGCGCCCGAGACCGTTCTTCCCTTCTCTCCTCGAGCCTAGCCACTGACAGAAAGGAGTTTAGGTCTTTTTTCTCCCTTACTGTTTATCATGTTGAGGATGGGAGCAAGAGAGGCAGAGACAGACAGACAGACAGACAGACAGACTTTCCCACCTCAAATTGGCTTCAAATGGGTAAGTCCCTGCCTCGGCCTCACTAGTGTTGAGATTACAGATGTGAGCAGCCACACTAAGCTCTGTTGTGCTGAATCCTTCCTGGAGGGCCATGACCAGGCACCATCGCACAAGAGCGCTCTCTGTAAATGAAGACGATAAATTTGGCCAGACAACTGGTCGTATTTTGTCTTTTATCTCTTTTGAATTTCTTCCTTTTAGAGCTACTAATTTTGGAGGAAAATATGTTGAGATCTGCTATTTGCCATGCTTGCTCTTGCCTGAAGTTAAAGTGCATAGCACATGTGTATAGTAAGAGAATGTGAGTGTGTGGAGGAGTTTTGACTTAGAAATAAGACTAAAATTCAACCTTGACATGTTCAGCTGTGTTTATTTTCCATGCATCCTGGAGTACAATCCTATGTAGATGATCTCATTTAAATAAACACAGTAGGAGTTTATTTAAATTTCTAATTTGCCATTCTTGTTGCATATGCAGATAACACAGAGCTAGATTTTTCAAAATCTCCTCCTTACTAGGACTATATCAGAGTCTGCATTTAGACCTGACCCTGGCCCTGCATGTAAGTGTTTGTATGAGGGAGTCTGCTCACTGCTCTCACTTACTTCCTCAGATAATTCTGAAGTCTTTGAAACATGAAAAACATAGTAATTATGTAGACAGCCCTTCTCATCTCTCTCTCTCTCTCTCTCTCTCTCTCTCTCTCTCTCTCTCTCTCTCCCCCTCACACACACACACACACACACAATGCCAATTGTTACAGTGTTTGTGGGGATCTGACTTTGTATTCATTCACATGTGTATATGTAGTACTAAGGATCAAATGCAGTCAAGTTCTCATCCCCCAGCACTATAAATATGATATGGAGAACATAGAGAAAAAAGTCAAGACAAACGTGGTCAAAGCTCATATGAACTCACAGTGTGCACATGGCCTGCACCAGTCTGCACTGGGTTGTTTGCATACATATTGTGGCTTCCAGTTTAGTGTTTTATGGGACTCCTGAGTATGTGAATGAGTAGATCTCTTAATTCCTGTTCCTTTTCTTTGGCTCTTTTCCTTCTGTTTGTTTTGTCCAATTCTGATGTATTGGTTTTTTTTTTTAATCTTACTATATTTCATTATTATCTCTTAGAAGCCTGTTTGTTTTCTAGTGAGAGGCAGAAAGGGAATAGATTCAGAAGGGAGAAGTAGAGGGGAAGCCATAATGAGGATATATTATGTGAGGAAAAATCTATTTTCAATAAAAGGGAGCAAAGAATAAGATGTATTAAAAAAGAAAAAGTCAACGTGCTACTTGGGTCAGCCCACATAAAGTGCTCAGGACAGAAAGTGGCAAAAACATTAATCTGTAGTGAAAATTGACCCACAAGTGCTGTCCCAGGAGTGATAGTTACAGCACACTTGCACACTCAGTACCTAGAGCGGAGCGTCTCCCAGGTCAGGAGACAGGACAGGGTAAAGGTTTCTCCTTTGTGTAATTCAGTACTCAGGTTCACCCAAGCTGTCTTCTTGTTTTAAAAAGAAGCATAAGGCCAGCCTGTCTCAACTGCACCCCGGTCCTACCAAGCATCCCCACAAAAGAACTGGAGGCAGTTACAGCAAGTTATGTTTCAATCACAGAGCTGGACAGTAGATGGCGCTATGCTCCTCTGGTTCTAGGAGTGTAATTGAAGTCACTGAGGGAAATGCTCCTAGTTGGGTTTCCAAACTGTTTACTGAAGTTTTTCATCTAACTTCTCCATCCATCAGAATGGAAATGAGAAGTATTGTAAAGGAATTGCTACTGTTTTCCCATTTTATAAATGAGGAAATTGAAGTTCATAGAGGGTGACCCCTTGTGGATGTAATTAGCACTCAAAAGAGCCCGTTTTCAGCAGACAGCCAGGCTAGATGTGGTTACGGGTTGTAACCTTACTCGGTATGCTTTCTATTTTCCAATGTCAGTTTCTGTAGAGTATGCTGTGAACTAGTAAAATGTTCAACACTACCTGCTAATAGTTTTGTTTTCTCCCTGCCACCTAATTTAACAAAAGTCTTTTCTAATAATTATTCATATAAATTCTTTCTAAAACATCTGTATGTATTTTTAAAAACAACTCTTTTTTCACCAGTTTAAACTGTTTGAATTACATAAGTATTATTTTGTAAATTTGTATAGTATGAGGAAATGCCCATATTGGTCAAAAAAGGGCGTCAGAGCCCCTGGAGCTGGAGTTACAGGTGGTTGTGAGCAGCCATTATGGTGCTAAGAACAAAACCCAGGCCCTGGAAAAGCAGGAAGTGCTGTTGACAACCTAGCCATCTCCCCAGCCTCTACTTCCTGTATATACAATACAGTTAGCAAGTGACAAACCACTGGAAACCAACAACTCTACAAATGTGCAGGTCACTGTAGGTGACTCCTTTTAAACTTGTAACTGCAGATGGAATCTTGGCATGTCCTCTCTTCATTAATGGGGCAGTCTAAAGCAGCTCTTAGCTGGGGTGGAGTAACTGCTCATCTGCATTTCCTGGCTACTCTGGTGTTTCATTCCAAACTTTCCTGGGTTGTCATGCATTCTGTCCTTCTCCAAGTAAGATGAGTGACTGTGGAGGGCATGTGTATCACCTTCGGTGTTAGAAGCTCAGTTCTACCTCTGTCTTCAGGAGTGGGCAAGGATTTGCTTGGGGTAGGGATCCCACTGCTAAGGATCACACCCAGGACTCAAAACATAGAAGTGCTCTAGCACTGAGATGCTTCTCAGTTCTAGTGGATTTTCTTGTCAACTATTAATTTATCTTCTAAAATATCATTTACAAATCTTCGTTAGCAGTTGGGGTCCAGCTTACTGGCAGAATAAATTCTTGGCATCTATGGATCATAGGTTCAGTCCCTAGTTGCCACTCTCCCCTCAAAACAATCTCATTCATTCACAAAAATATTCTCTACCTTATGTTTGATATATATATATATATATATATATATATCCTGAAGATAGAAACATGAATTTAGTCTGCAAAAACATTTGTGAACATCTTTTCTTAATTTGGTTTTATTGTGCCCACAGAGGCTAAAAGTGTCAGATCCCCTGGAGCTAGATTACAGGTGGTATGTGCCACCTCGTTTGGTTGCTGGGATTTAAACTGAGTCCCTCTGAAGAGCAATCCATGCACTTAACTGCTGAGCCCTGTTTGCAGCCCTGTGAACATCTTAAAATCTGGGATTTGTTTGCACAAATACATATGATCCATAAAGTTCACTAATTAAAAAAGCAGCCCTTACATTTTCAACAACAGTCTTCCAAATCCCCTTCCCCGAGCTGTTAGCTGTTTCTTTCTGTTGATTTTCTGAACAGTATGTTCCTGTCATTATCATGTTGGTAATCCCAATCATTATCTGTTGACTTCCTCCTGTGGATGAAGGGTTTGGCCTTGTGGCACCATCTTAACCTTCTGCCGTCCCCCTTCCTGTGTATTAATGTTTAGACATGGTGGTTCCAGTTTTAAATTAAATCAGTACTTAAGATTCCTGTGTAAATATAGCTGAGCCTTGACTATATATAATGACATTTCCTTCCAGCATATTTTTTGTTCCTAGAATTAATTGCTTCATTTTTGCCTTTGCTTGGGTTTTTCTGGAGCTGTAACGAATTCTTTCCAGGAATTACACGGCCCTGTTAAATGTTGTTTTCCTCTGGGTTGTTTTAATCTCCCCAGAGCCAAGTCTCCTGATTATCCTCTCCATGGTTGGTAGACAGCTCTGATCAGCTGCAGCTGCGCGCCGATAGAGAAGCTTGGATGGGAAGAGCAGTGCTGACCCAGTGCTTCTGGGGAAGCTATTGAGGAGAAAGCATGCATTTAGATTGATACTTCACACTGCATGTTCAGTTACACCAAAATGGGTACATGTTAGAAGAGCGTAATTATGGCAGCAGTTGTCATTGATAAGATTAAAGACTATGAACACTGAAGAGTGAAAGAAACATGGGCCTGGGCAGGTGGCTCAGCTGGAAAAGTACTTAAGGACCTAATTCCGAATCCCAGCACTTATTTTCAAAAAAGCCGGGCATGGTTGCACGTGACTATAGCCCCAGTGTTGAGGGGAGGGGGACTGTGAGTTGGCAAGGGGGATGGATAAGTGGGTCCTGGGAGCTCTGTGGCCAGCCAGCAAGCCTAATGAAATAGTGAGCTTCTGTTCAGTGAGGCCCTTTGTCAAGGCAATAGGTCTGAAAGCAATAGAGACACACCCAGCCTCTCTCTGGCTTCTGCATGTACATGTGCAAACATACACACCCATAGATTGAATACCCAAGGAAAGAAATACATAAGGAAAATGTTGGTGTTAATAGAGAAGTACCTACAGTCCTTAAATGAAATTACTGTCCACCAGGAACTATTAAAATTTCTGGTTGTGGAGCTAGGAATCAAACCCATAGGTCTATTCATGGCATGCCAAAACCACTCCGTAATACTCCTAGCCCAGCTGATGCTTGGGGGGGGGATGAGAGGAATGGAGGGAGAGAGGGAGAGAGAATCTTATTGTATATCTCAGGCTGGCCACAAACTCGTGGTTCTCCTGCCTTAGTCCCCCAGGTGCTAGATTCATACATTCACACCAGCCTGGCCATAGTTTTGGAGCTATTCTATTGTTTTTGTCTTTTCTATTTCTGACCATCAGTTAAAGAGCTGACCAGTTATAGTGTAAATATAAAACATTAATGAAGCATTATAAGTTAAAGAGTTAGTGCTCAACTTACACTGCGTTGAGCATTTTGCATTATTTTTACAAAAATAACTTTTTTTTTGAGACAGGCTTTCTATGTGTTGTTTTGGAGCCTGTCCTGGAACTCACTCTGTAGACCAGGCTGGTCTCCAACTCACAGAGATTTGCCTGCCTCTGCCTCCCGAGTGCTGGGATTAAAGGCGTGCACCACCAACGCCTGGCTCAAAAATAACTTTTAAAGATGTTTTTACAAAAAATTGTTTACTAAATGTAATAGGAAGAGAACAAAGAAAAAGAAACCAGTCTGTCATATGAAATCGTTCTTTATCAATTATTTTAGGTTTCTGTATTCATGAAAAACATTGTTAAAAGTTTTTTAAAAGCCGGGCGTTGGTGGCGCACGCCTTTAATCCCAGCACTCGGGAGGCAGAGGCAGGCGGATCTCTGTGAGTTCGAGACCAGCCTGGACTACCAAGCAAGTTCCAGGACAGCCTCCAAAGCCACAGAGAAACCCTGTCTCGAAAAACCAAAAAAAAAAAAAAAGTTTTTTAAAGCAGGACAAAAATATATGTGAACATACATGTAATGATGATAGTTCTACATGAGGAGTAAAGTCAGTTACTGGTGCCACGGAGGATGAGTGGGAGGCAGGGAAGCGGGCGAGGGTGTGTTTTTGATGAGTAAAGCACATGACTGGGTGGCGGTGGTAAGGAATCTGCATGTAATAAAATGGCTCAGGTGTGTACACAGGCTCCTGCAGCACCGACGGGCTGGTGTCGATGTGGTTTACCTAAGAGAACACACAAGAAGACTTCCTGGGAGCCTTTCGTTTCAAAATAAGGGTTTTACATCTCAAACGGTTTTAAATAGTTGATATGCCAAGGTTAGAGGAATATTTTAGAGTTTGGGAAATTGGGGTTTTGTTTTGCCTTTTTTTCCTCATTAGGTTTTAAGTGCTGTGTATTTTCTTTGAAAATTACACAAGCAAGTAATATAATTGTGCAATGGCTCTTACCCCAGCTCGGTATTTGGTTTTGTTTTATAGTACATACCAAGAGTTGTGACTTCAGCCCAGCAGAAAGCCGGGAAGATGATTACAGCTCGGATCACGGGTCGGTGTGATTTTGCTTCCAAAACTAGAATCAACAGCAGTTTGGCCATCATGGGAGTTTCTCCCCCCATGAGCTCGGTAGTCGTGGAGAAGCATCATCCAGTCACAGTGGTGAGTCCTGTCAGGAAGCCTTTTTTCATGAGTTTGTTCCCTTATCAACCCTGACATTCATGGTTGGTCATTGGTGCCATTTACTCTTAGTCTGTAAAGCTGCCGTTACAAATTTCTCCTGTTATGACATATATGTCTCTACTTGTAGAGAGTAGAGGGACTGAGGAACTAGAATCTTTTTATTTAAGATCTTTAGCGAATTAAAATAAAGTCACATCATTTCCCAATCCTTCCTACCCACCCCCCATATCTGACTCTCCTCCTCCCTCCCAAATTCAACTTGTTTTTCATTGGTTTCTTGTTGTAATGGAGTAGAATTTTATCTGCTTTCATCAATTATTTTTCTCCCAGAATTATATCATCCTTTCCTGTTTTCCTTAATTTCCGTGACTGAGTTCAGGTTAAGCCTCCATCAACTAGTTTATTCAAACCTACACTTCGGGAAACTAGAATCTTAGAACCACTTTCTTTAATGTTCCCTCCTGGGCTACCTGCTGCTGTTCAGCATGTATGCAGTGCTTGTCTGGTAGTAAGTGGCTATGAGACAGAGGTCCAGAGACCCTTCTGTTCTTGCTTAGTTTTTGTCACGTGGCAGGTGTGGTCCTCTGTTTGGATTGCTTTTTGGGAATCAAGAGCTAAACTAGCAAAACCATTATTGCCAATAAAGCTCAGATCTGTTTGTAGCACCTTTCCTCCTCTGCTGGGTGTTTACTTGCTTCTGGGCTGATTTTGTGTTCTGCCATATTTTATAGATTATAATACCCATGGGAACTCTAAACTCTTTCTACAGTTCCTCTTACCTGTCTCAAGGGGAAACAGCTTTGATAAATCGTGTCATATTTGGTACTTGTCAACTAAAATTTCATACCAACTGCAAGAATCTCCCATTTGTAATGGTTATCCAGATAATTATAGTTGGAGAAACATCTGTATAAGATACCTTAAAAAGCTGTGCATTGGTGGTACGCGCCTTTAATCCCAGCTCTTGGGAGGCAGAGACAGGTGGGTCTCTGTGAGTTCAAGACCAGCCTGGTCTACAGACACTGAGTTCCAGGACAAGCTCCAAAGCAATACAAAGAAACCCTGTCTTGAAAAACCCTGTCTTGAAAAATCTTAAGAAGGTTACTTTTCCATTTCTCCGTAGATGAGTTCTCACTTTTAAGACAGAATTTGGACATGAGGATTCTGTTTTTATTATGTAGTCTTTGAAATTCATGGTAAATATATTAGCTAAATGCATTTTTTATAAATTTTATGTTTGTGAATGTTTTGCCTATATATATGTTTGTGCACCATGTGTATGCCTGGTGTCCACAGAGGCCATTCTTGTGAGCCACTATGTGAGTGCCAGGAACCAAACCCGGGTCCTCTATCTGCTGAGCCATCACTCCTGCCCCTAATGCATAAAATTTTTTTCTAAATGGAAGATCCTGTAATAGAAATCTTTGTGACATGACTAAGAACTTAACTTGATACAAATACCCTGCCAGCTACTAAGACATGTAGCAGGTACAATAAAGTCTTAACTGATTTTCATATATATGTATGTATGTATGTATGTAACATGTACACACATACATAGTGCATATTTTTCATGTCATATGTACACTGGGTCTGCTCTGCCCTGACTAATTCTTTAGCGCTCATGTCTCAGTGCTCTCCTAAGCTCTGAACTGATGTGCAGATCACCTGCTCCTCAGTGTCTTTATTTGTTCTCCACATCCAGTCTTTTCTTGTTTAGGAAATGGTGGTCCAACCGGGTATGGTGACATGCTCCTTATTCCCAACATTCCGGGTGCTGGGCAGGTGGATCACAAGTAGAGTCCAGCCTAGGCTACATAGCAAGACCACCTTGAAGGAAAGAGACATGAAGGGAGCCCCGTATCTTCTGGGAAGCCTTCTCTTGTGTGACTATAAAATATTGGGTCTGCTCCTAGGTGAAATCTGAGGTCTATTTCACCATGGCTTGAAGCCAGGCCAGAGCTGGATAGAAGAGGGGGTGAATGGTTTAGAGCTGACCCTCCTCCAGACAGACACCATGAAGTCCTTTTCTGTAATTAGCCTCTGTAGATCTTTTCCTCTCAGACCTCTTAGAGCAATGATTCTCAAGGCTCTGTATTAAATGTGGCTGTTGACCGATGGGTTTCTTTCATAGAGGGCTTCACTGTGTTTGTTTGAATGGCTACTCCATCCAGTGCACTGCTGGTGTCTACAGGGTGCCAGATGTTGGTTTGGGTTATGGATGATGAAATGATGCTTCACATCTGATTACTAAAGCAGCCCCTTATCTTTACAGCAAACCATTCCTCAGGCAGCTGCTGCCAAGTACCCACGGACCATCCATCCGGAAGGCGCCATCCCACATTCTAGGTCTCTCGGAGCCAAGCCAACCCACACCCAGTCTCTCTCGAGCTTTCAGTCCATAAAAGTGGTTGACTAGAGTGACCGTGTTCACACTCAGGTCTTCTCAGTCCTCTCAGAGGATCTGACTAGGAGCAGGAAGTTTTTTTGCTTTTGACTTTTCTGTACTGTGAGAACATCATGGACACATCATGTTCGTCTTTTCAGAATTTCAAGAGACTTTCCCATCCTTTGTAACTGTATGTAGAGATTATTTTAATGTTGTAATTTTTATTTAAACAATTAAGTAGAACTTTTTAATTAAAAAAAGTGGTTCTAGACATGTCCAGTCTGACACTGATTGCATCATTGAAGGGTATAAATCTTTTTTTTTCTGTACATTATTTCTAGGAAATCATTTCCACTGTTAATGAGCCATAATTTACACAGAATTTTGAAAGAGAACTTTACTGTTATTACTAAAACAATTAGAAACTATTATAATTTTTAAATAAAGACCAAGAGTAGCAGTGATATTTCTAAACACAGCTTTTTCTGCCTTCAGTGTATTGGCCTTCATCTCTAGGACTTGGCAGTTAAACACCAAGGGAAGTAGGCAACATCTGTGAATATTAGCACCAGAACAGGAAGAAACTCCCTGCTGGGATGACCCTGTTTCCATTGTTCTTTCTCACCTTACTGGGGCCTGCAGCATGGAGCCTAGTAGTTCTCCCTACACATTCTCGTGAGCTGCAGAGGGCTGCCCTGATCTCTTAGCTGGGTATAAGCTTTCAGTGGCTGGCCAGTGTGAATAAGCCATCTGGCCCAGGCATGGTGGTACATGCAGTCAGTCCCATCACTGGGGAGGCAGAGGTAGATGGATCTCTGTGAGTTGTCAAGGCCAGCCTGATCTACATAGTGAGTTCCAGGACAGCCAGGGCTGTGTAGAAAAACCCTGTCCAAAAAAAAAAAAAAAAAAAAAAAGGAAGGGAAAGAAACTCTTATTCATGTCTATGTTCTCTTGGGCCAAACATTAATTAAGTAGATCTCAGGATATAAGTAGATTTCTGGGATATAAGTAGAATGTACTTCCCTTCCCTGAATGACACTGTACTTATGGAATATATAAGCAGGTGCTAAAGAGTGTCTGGGCCTCCACTTCCAAATGGGTGGGTTTGAGCATCTGAAGCCTCTGCCAGTTTGAGCATGATCTACTTCTGTGCTGTCTCATTTTGTTATAAAAAGTCACTTTTCTTGCTGCCTCACAATTCAGAGACTAAATGTGATATAGGCAAACATGATTCCATTTTATAACAAGTGCTTAAGGCTTTTTTGAATTATAGGCACATCAAGCAGTGGTCTAGCTACTACTATAGCAAAAGCTCACTCCCTGGGCTTGTAGCTTTGTGAGCAGCAAGCCGCAGCACCTCCTCTCACCATCCCTGCATGCTCCCCAGAACTGCCCTGTCTGTCCAGTAAAGCCAGGAGGAGTGGTAGGCTGCCCTAAGGGACCACTCATGTGACCCAGATAAGAGTCCCACTGTGTGCAGCTCGAGAAATGACTCAACCACAGAACACTTGCTGCTCCTGCAGAGGACCCTAGTTCAGTTCCCAGCACCCACTTGGCTGCTTCAAAGCATCCACAACTCCAGTTCCAAAAAATTCAACACCTTCCTCTGTTCTGCACAGGCATCAGGAATGCATGTGTACATACTTGCATGCATTCAAAACACAGTGACAAATGGATCAATTCTTCCTCCTCCCTCCCCCTGTGAACTGCCCTGAGATGCATTCATCCATCCCTTCTTGGAGCAGAACATCCTTAGGGTCTATAGCTGAGCTCGACACCATGTGGAGCCAATCTGGTAACATCCTCACCTTGCTCCTCCTCAGCATCATGTCCATGTTCTACAGAAAGCTTGGTCTTAGGCTGGACCTTTGAGGAGCCCAGGCTTTAGCTAGGTTTTCAGTGTGCAAGCCAAGTCATATGGACATACTATGGAAGATGCCTATTATAGGCATTGTTTAACTCTAAAAGTGCTGCACGTTGTCCAAATTACCAAATAATGCATATTGGCCTAAGTTAAATAACACAAGTTTGATGGTGAAGCACTCTATTGTAAGTATGTATTGGTACTTATTTTACATACAGAGGTTAAGTTGGGGGAAGAATGCTAGCAAGGTCATTGGTATGACAAACTGAAGAACAGACTGAGATTGAACTTTTAATTTAATACTTATTTAAAATTCTGGAATCTTGTGAATATATTGCCTGTTTTAAACACTCCTAGCATTACATGGATCATTTACAATCAATGTAAGAAAAATACTTGAAACTGTAAGTTAATGGTAGAATAATTGCCTGTGATTGTCTTACCAGCTTTTCCAGACTGATATTCAGGATTGGACTCTAGGTAGGTATACAGTGATAAAAACTGATACCTCTTGTAGCTTTCTCAGATTACAGAAGGCAGAGCATGTTCATTGTGAACAAAATAGAATGTACCAGAAAAGTACAAAGAATTAAAATGACCCATATTTAAATTACAAAAGGTTCAAAAATCACTGGTGGATGTCTGGTGGTTTTTTTTTTTTTTCTGAATAATGGCTTACACTTATATGGTATAAAGTCAACAGTGACTGAATTTCCAAATGCAGTTTCTTTACAAAGATAAGAGTTTGTGACTTGCATCCCACTGGCTTGAGGTTAGGTGTTTCCCCTTCATCTTCACCCCAGTCTCCGGAGGAAACATTCTGTCTATCAGGAAAGGAAGCAAAGGTCTGAGAGTGTCTATAATATTAGCATGCCCACTGCTCACAGCCAAGAATCAAATCTCCTAACCCTTGCTTTCTCACGAGCCACCATGCTGCTCCCGCCATCTGTCTGGGTTTTGAACTTGTAAAGAACCCTTCCAGCTATGCTGTTACTCCTGTACATCAAATGACAGAAATGGGAAAGTCGCACGGTTTGCCTCAAGGAAAAGGTGAAGCCAGTGTGAGGCTGGAGCAGCAGGAAGGTGGTGTGTTCACTTCCATCCGTGGAAGAGCAGCGTCTTTGTACCAGAAAATCAGCCTGCTGAGAGATGGTTGTGGCCCTCAGGGAGCAACGTTTAACTGAATGAGGAGTGGGAAACCATTCACTTCAGCTTAGGAGACTGCACATTTCTTGGATCTTGGGTCAGTTTTACCTTTGAACTGACGAATCTTTTCTGAAAAAAAAAAAAACCAGGATAACATCTTAGTTAGGGTTACTATTGCTGTAATGAAACACCATAACTAAAAGCAACTTGGGGAGGAAAAGGCTTATTTGGTTTACATATCCTGAATCAGAGTCCATTGAGAGATGCCAAGGCAAGAACTTCAAACCCAGCAGGAACCTGGAGGCAGGAGTTAATGGCCATGGAGGAGTGCTGCTTACTGACTTGCTCCCCATAGCTTGCTCAGCCTGCTTTCCTATAGAACCCAGGAGCACCAGCCTTGGGGTGGCACCACCCGCAATAGGTTGAGCCCTCCCATATCTCTAATTAAGAAAATGCCCTACAGGTTTGCCCACAAGCAGATCTTCTGGTGGTATTTTCTCAGTTGAGATTCCCTTCTCTCAGATGACTCCAGCTTGTGTCAGATTGACATAAAAATTAGCCAGCACACTCACTCAAGAACAGCTGATGTTGTTAAATGTGGTTTACTGTGTTCCTTCCAGGCACCATCCACACCAGCCTTTAGAAATGGGTGTCATTTTCTTCCCTAATTTAGAATGGGCACACCGGTGCCATGAGGTTATAGAACCTGCTGAGGACCACAGAGCTGCAGCCGAGGCGAGCCCTCACAACGTAGCCCTAACCATTCCTCACACTGCCTTTGTCTTCCCTCAGAGTTTGCATAGATACACTTGCACTGGGAAGAATATGTTTAAAGTTGCAGGATTTGGTGTTAGGAGGCTACTCTGGTATCCTGCAATGTAGGTATCTGCAGTATTCGTCATTCCTATCCCTGCTTGAAGCACTGCTGGGCTAGCTGCCAGAATGACACAGGCATGTGCTCAGCTCTGAGGGAACTGCATCCATGAAAGCAATGGCAGATGCCTCTACTGTCTTGTACAGCGACTGTTGTTACATGAGAGTTACAAAGCTACTAACTTCTTCCAGGGGTCCTGAATTCAATTCCCAGCAACCACATGGTGACTCACAACCATCTGTAATGGGATCTGGTGCCCTCTTCTGGCCTGTAGGCAGAACACTGTATATATAATAAATAAATATGTTTCCTGACAACACACTGGACAGTTTGGGGTGGCGACTTTCAATACCCTCAGAGGGCAAAGCAACAGCCTATGTACTGCCCTTCTTTCTGCCCTGAGAACATTTTCACTAGAACATACCACTAAATTGATGGAATTTGCCAGTAGGAGCGAGTAACTTTGAAAACAAAATAGTTCTTGCTCAGTTGTGAGGAAGATTCTGGGTTGCAGAAGGTGGTAGGGCGTTCATGCCCCATCCTACCTGTCCACAGGCACATAGAAACACCTGGTTCAGATGCTGTGGTGGGTACTGACTGGTTGACCTAACCAAGGCAGAAGCCTCGGAGTGCACACAAGCCCATTCCACAGCTCCATGTTCTGTCCACACCCAACCTCCATCAGATCGCTGTTGAATTCAGGAATTCCCTCCACCCTGCCATTGAAGGGAGAAGGGATTTGGGTGGGATTGTGGCAGACTAACTCACCAGCTGATTCTAGGAACCCTGCACACACCAGGTCCTCATACAGCAGCTTGGTAGGGTCAGGCTGTGTCATCAGAGCACCATGCAGCCAGATAAGCAGAGCCCTATAGCCTTGCTCACAGAAGCTCTTGTTACCTGTGTCCAGATAAGAGGTCCAGAGTGAAGCATTGTACACCGATGCCTCTTGCTGACACATTTTTAAATGACTGCTATTGTCCATTCATTCATTCCTCCTCTCGGATCTCTCAGGCCAAAAACTCAGTGATGGGAAGAGGCTCTTGCCATCCCTCACTGGTGTTGTACTGTAGTGACCACCCTTTGGAGACAAGGCAGCCTGGCCTGTTCCTTCTGTTCTGGGACACACCTAAGCACACACAGGGTAAGGGTGGGGAATTATAAGGGACTGAATGGCTTTGATGCCTGCCTGGAGGTGACAGACAATGCCCATAAGATATGAGGTCTTCTAGTAGGTCAGGCTCAAAGTACATGTTTTCCCTGGACATCCTGTGCAAATGTAGATTTTTTTTTGAGTTACAGTAGTATGACAAGTTCCCTGCTGCTCTGTAAATCACTGGGCAGTAAGCATGTGCCATAGAGCCGCTCCAATTCAGCAGGTCTGTAACTCAGGTCAAGATTATTCTTCCTGAAAATACCTGAGACCTAACCCCTCAGGTTATTGGAATAAGATGACTACCTGCTGTCACTTTGGACAGTTAACAGTTGCAAATACACCATAGGCACCATGGGGCAGATGCTACAAAAGGAGCCTGGGATCTTGGCAGGAATAATGTGCTCCTCAACAAACTCATTTTTCTTTGATACCAAAAACATATATTATTGCCATACTGTCAAAGAATTGAAGAACAAAATGTATTATTGGTTGTTCTTCAGTACCAACAACATGCACCAACATTCTTCACTCAAAATTCCACAAAGTTTCCGGTGCCATTTGCCACAAGAATTAAAGTAAGATTGGATTGCAAATGTTAATGCCATGCTAGTGAGATTGTCTGCATGTGTGCCTACAAATGATGTCCTCCCAGAAACCCATCCCCCAACCTGGTGGGAGGACTCTTCCTGGGCAGAGAGCTTCAACAGTGAGCTTTTCTATAGCAGAGTAAGGCCTTCCATCTAGGACAAGCTGCAGATCTTGGTGGAAAGCCAGACTGGCATCCGCAGGCATGCCCAGGGATTGTATTGTTGCTTCTTTAGTTCCTAATTCAATTGTGAAGCCTTCGTTTCTTTTTTGGGCCTGAATAGTCAACCTTTGCAAGAGCATCTGACTGCAGATTCTCCAGAGTTTAGCTTTCTGCTGGATTCCCAGTCACCTTTGTAGATTTAGCCAACTTCTCTTATTACCATGATACTTGGGCTCAGCCTGTTGTGTGCACTGGGCACTTACTTCAAAATGAAGAAACAGCCGCTGTCACTAACTCCAAATGTCTTTCTGTTTATGTCCTCTGGCCCCCACTCACCTGACCACTGTTCCTCGATGGCTCTGATCTGGTCCTCCGTAAAGCCCCACAAACGGGCCAGCCTCTGCCAGTCCTTCTCCTTGAGCTGTTGGTAGGCCAGGTTCCAGAGGAGGGTGCGGATGTGCCTGGTCTCCAGACTGTGGTCCTGTTTGAATGTCAGTGTAGACCTTCCTGCTGAGTCCTGGATGCCCTCATGGTGCTCCTACATGGAAACCCACTGTTATGTACAGCACATGCTCACTTGCTAGCTTATGTCATGAGTGATTGGTGAAGCAGTAGCTAAGACTTTTTAATCTGTCCTAGGTCATTTTTGCCATCCAAACTGGACAGAACTGTCTGGAATAAGAAGCATGAGTACTGTGTCTGGAGCAGGAAATATGAGGGATTCTGCAGTGTTGTGTCTGTGTTGTTGACTGGTGTCTGCCCACTTCCAAACAACAGAGGGAACACGTTGGCAAGTGGATCATCAAAACTAGCAGCTCTAACGGCCTTACTCTCAACACTAAACCGTCTTTATTCTTTGGTGTGTATGATTTTCTCATTGACACCTCAGTGGAGTTCAGATTGGATACATACTTAATAAAACCTCATAGCTGTTCATTCTGCTCTCTCCTGAGTATGAGGAGAAACCGGAAGCCTAACTCAGGGTAGGGTAGGATAGGGTAGAATAGGGTAAGGTAGGGTAGGGTAGGTTAAGGCAGGGCAGGATGGGGCAGGGAAGAGTAGGGTAGAGTAGAGTAGGGTAGGGTAGGGTAGGGTAGAGTAGAGTAGGGTAAGGTAGAGTAGAGTAGAGTAGGGTAGGGTAGAGTAGGGTAGAGTAGAGTAGGGTAGGGTAGAGTAGAGTAAGGCAGGGGGTAGGGGGACAAGGTAGTGAACAGAATGAAGTGGCTGTCATTTCATTTTAAGTCACTACAGTCATGCTAAGCCCAACAGCCCTGCACCTAGACTTGTCTCTTGTTTTTTTGTTTTGTTTTGTTTTGTTTTGCCTTTCTACACTGCTTTCTGCCTCCTTGGTGGGATCTGCCACAGACTTTCCTGATCAATCCCTCAAAAACATTAGTGGAAAGAGTCTCGGAGGAGAAAGCAATTGCCAGGGCTTCCTAGAACGGCATACCACATATGCCATTAGGACTGCAGAGGACCACGGCTCTGTTAACGGAATGGAAGACATGACTCACCCAAAGGTTTAGTTGGGGCGCCCTATCTCATCTCCTTTTTCCTGTATAATGACTTCTATTTTAGTCTTCCAGTTAAATAAAAGGGAATCTTACTAAAAGGTACTCTAAAAACAAGATGGGAGTTAATGCCAAGGGAGGAAAGGGGCAAAGAGGATGGGGCCCTGCCTTTTGAGAGTTTGGAGAACTTAGTGGGCCTGCACTCAGCCTCACTGCCTCCTCCATAATGCTATGCACACCCTGGGGATCTCAGCCAAGGAGCAGGGCAGGGCCTTCTGCTGGTGTTGGACCGGGGCGGGAACAGGAGGTGTGAAGCATCCACGCTGTCCACAAGACTTTAAATTGTAGTCTTCTCCAGTTACCCTAGCTTCACTGTCACAATGCCTTGTTTCCAGGAATGCTCGTTCCTTCTCAGAAAACAACACACCCAGTGAGATCAAAACCTCAAACAGCATGAGTAGAGAAGAGCGCAGACCGATTCTGCATTCACCTTCGCTCTGTGCATTTTTATTTCCTGGAGAATTTTGTGCTCTTCGCATCCTAGCTTTTGGGGCAGGGTGGACATTCCAGCTTCTACAGGCAGGAGCAGGGGGCTTGGAAAGCCCCGGTCTTTTCTAGCAGTGAAAGCATTGGGACTGACGTAGTTGCTGAAGTGCCAGAAGTGGTAGAGAGTGAAAAGCATAAAACAGGACTGCAAAGATGCCATAGCCACCAAAAGTGATTGCTGCACAACTTGAGTTTGACCCTTGAGGCCACTTTAAAAAGCTGCATGCACTGGTGTGCATCTGCAATCCCAGGACTTCCACGGTGAGGTGAGAGGAAGAGAAGGTGTTAGCCTGTAGTCCCCGAGCTCCACGGAAACAACAGCAGAGACCACGCCTCAAAGTGGACAGCCAGCACTGACTCTCAAAAGTCATGTTCTCTCTCTCTCTCTCTCTCTCTCTCTCTCTCTCTCTCTCTCTCTCTCTCTCTCTCTGTCCATCTCTCTGTCTCTCTCCTCTATCTCTCTCTTCTCTCGCTCTGTCCCTCTCTCTGTCTCTTCTCTCTCCCTCTGTCCTTCCCTCTCCCCACCACAATAATAATAAATATATAAAATAAAATCTTAATAGTATAAGGCAGATTTAAGAAGTATCCTTTGCCTCTGAACCACTGAATTTAATGATGTATACTGGTTAAATGTGTAGTATACATGTACAAACAACATATAGATCATTTAAATGAGATGTGGATAAACATAACATATATAAGTAGTTATAAAAGTTCAAATGATCTCTTTAAACTTGTTATTGGTAATGATTTTGCACAAAACCAGGATAAAAGTTTGTTGATTAATGAAAAATTATTTAAAATAATAAATGCCTTTGGTAAACTTTAAAAATGGAAAAAGAAATTAATGCTGTTTATTTAAAAGCAAGTTTTCCCAGCACCACCACAGACCTCAGGACTCACGCTACCACCTTAGTTCTCAATGGACAATTTCTGAGGTCTTCCTTCAGCTGTGTTTGTGCATTATACAAGGTTCTCAAAGTTTAACATCACTATCTCTCAAGGACTTTTTTTTTTAGAAAAGAGGGGTTGGTACAAAAGTTATTTATTCTCATGTAGCCGAAAGAATATGAGACTGCTAAGGGGCATTAAAAATAGATGGATTGAACAGCTTGATTTTTCAAAGCAAGTGTAGAAAAGGGCGTGAAGAACAAGAGAAAGGTAATCTGAGTCCTTAGCAACAGAAAGATGATGAAGAAAATGAACAGAAGGATGAAGAAGGAAGAAGACAAAAAGGGACAATAAAATAAGTCAGACAAGGAGGAAGACTGAACAGAATTCTACTTGTATACAAGGATCTGTTGTTTTATAGGCAAAGCAGACTTTATTGTTCACATGCAAGAACAGTTGCAAGGAAACTATGTCACCATTGAAAGACTCCATACCTGGCCACGAGTTGCATAGCTATGTGGATAATCATGGACCACATATGACAGTGGCTAAACTGACCTAGGTGTGTGGCTGTGCAAGAGTGCTCAGTGGTGTTGACACAGTGATCACAATGCCTAATGACATGTCTCAAGTTTCCTTGTCATTGATTCACATATACATCCAGATGACCAAGCAGGCTCATGAGGGGGAAGTAAACAATAAACATTCTTGCTTTGCATATTAAAAAAAAAGAGTATCACAGGATTGGCAATGACAGCAATCCAGCTTTGTAGCCTCTCTGCAGTGGACACCCGAGCCATGTGGGAGTGTATGGTATGCTAGCATGACACATTGGCCCAGAAGAAGCCATGCATGCACCCAGGACGGAGACTGAGAAGCAAAACAGGTCTAGAAGTTGGGGCAGGTGTCCTGTGTCTGAGCATCTTGCCTGAGGACACAGACCTGAATCTTGGGGGAAAGGACAGTCTACCAAGATGTGTGACTGGAAGACAGTCAGAGGAAAGAAAGATAGAGACAAAAAGTGGCTTAGAGATAAGATCTGTGTGTTCAAAGGCATGTAAATTTGCGGTTGCCCCAGAAAACTTGAGTAATCGAAAGCCAGCATGGGACTACAGCAAAACCAGCAGAGTCAGGAGAGCTCAAAATGCTTCCCGTGTGTGCCACTCATTGGAGCTTCTGTGACAGGTCATGGCTGGAGACCATGGGACAGAGGTCACAGTGGAGCCAGCCATCAGGGGCTGGAATGCTAGGCCAGCAATGCTGTCGTGGATCAGGCTGCCTGGCCCACATTCCCAGGTCTGACTGCCGACACCCACAAATGAAGAGGAGGAATAGAAGAGGTGAGGTTTCATCCCATGAATAGAGACAGCACTGGGATAGTTGTCATTGTACCGAGTAAGGTTCACTATAGGGGGGGAGGGGGACTGTGTAGATCCCACATCCCACATTTCCCATTGCAAGATGGGGGTTTGCCAAAAGAGCCCCTGCTTTGGCTGGAAGTGACTTGCTTACCTCTCTCCAGGCATAGTACCTCTCAGCTTTAATGAGCATATCCACGACGAGGCTGTGATGGCTCCGGGCAGCCACAGCCAGGGCAGTCTTTCCTTGCTAAATTAAAAAGAGGGGGTGGGGTGATGTTGCTCCAGCTTCTCAGCATAGGCCCGCACCCGGATCCCGACTCTGCCACCCGTCCTTAGTCACTGTTGGTCTCTACAGTTCTACCCAGGTGTCCTGATGAGCAGTGAACGTGATGGCACTTGCAGAGCTCTCGGGATGGGTGCCACCCATAACATTTCCCAGTCACACCCTCGTGATCAGGAATGAGACCTGCATTCTGGCCAGTGGTATGTACATGCAAAGGCACATTCTTTTCCTGGGAAAGATTTTTTCAAAGAGAGGAAAGATGACATTCTCCTTTCATTCCTCCGCTTCCCAAGGGGAATGCTGTCACGACAGCAGAAATCTAGGCAGCCACTTTAGATCAGGAATTGGAAGCCTCGTTTTGAGGAGGATGATGTAATGAGACAGAAAAGGGGCTGGATCCAAAAGCAATATCAATAATGGCAACACATAGTACAGGATTCAGCTCACCGGCTCCCAGCTAGAAGTTTTGTCTTTTATAGCATACTGCCTCTAACCACGGTTGAAGTATTCCAATTTTAACCCAATTGGATGAGTAAGAAAGGGCTGATCTGGACATAACTTGGAATGGATGCCGCCTGAAGCCTGTGTCACATCTTACACAAATTACAGAAGGTGAACCCTGCTCATGATGGCTGTCTCGCCAGCCAAGGAGCACATCTCGGCAGGCTGTGCCCCTCGATTTTAGGCAGCACAGTTTCCGTTTCTGCATCTATGCATGTTTTCCTGACAAAGGAGGATGGTTTGTATTTGCTTTTTTTTCTTAAGTGCATGTGTGTGTGCCCATGTACATGTATGAGCGTTCATGCAGAAGCCAGAAGACAACCTTAGTATTATCTTTAGAAACTAGAAACACATAGCACCTCCTTTGAGACAGGGTGTCTCATTGGCCTGAGGTTTACCCATTAGACTAGACTGGTTGGTCAGCAAGCCCCAGGGATGTCTCTACCTCACCATCCTGGGCTTTTATGTGCATGGTACCATACCCAGCATTGTATTTTTACATGGATACTAGGGATGAGGCTCAGATCCTCAAGCTTTCAAGACAAGCACTCTAACTTACCAAACTATCTCCCCAGGCCTCCTATGTGCATTTCAAGTGCCCTATGGCATATTCACCCAGGAACTCTAAAGATAATTAAAATCAATGGTCAGAAATAACTCCAGGGGGAAAAATTGCAATGTTAGAAGCCTGTGTTTCTAACCCTAAAGACCCAGAAACTTCTCTCAATAAGTCTTCTATGTCTGGATAGCGGCAACAAGTAGCATTCCCACCAACACAAATTGCAGGCACTAAGACCCAGAGGAGCTGGAAGTCGGGGCTGAACTGAACATAATCAGCCTGTGAGCAGGAGAGCTGGTAATGAAATTAGGAAGAATTGCATTTTGCAAGCATTTAGCAAGCCTCTAATTGCATACTGTCTGCATTCTGCCTTGTAAAGCCATTTGAATCACCATAATTAGCCTATTTTGGGAAGGCAGTATTCTAAAAGTCAGAATTTTCAAGCTGGAGAAACTTTCCTTAAGAAACAACACACTAACATGGAGGGGCCATCTGTCCTTGATGGAGGCCAAGAGCTTTGTGACCCCCTAGTTAGACTTTTTCAGTCTCTCTCTCTCTCTCTCTCTCTCTCTCTCCTCTTTCCCTCCCTCCCTCCCCCTTCCTCCCTCTCTCCCCCTCACTCCCTCTCCCTTCCTCCTTCTTTCCCCCTCCCTCCCTTCTTCCCTGTCTCTCCCTCCCTCCTCCCTCTCTGTTTCTCTCTGTAGCTCCCTTCCTCCCTCTCTCTCTCTTTCTATGTCTCTTCCTTCCTTTCTCTCTGTCTGTCTCTGTTTCTCTCTGTCTCTCCCTTTCTCCCTGTCTCCCTTCCTCTCTCTCCCCCTCCCTCCCTTCTTCCCTCCCTCTCTGTCTCTCCCTCCCTCTCTCTGTTTCTCTGTCTCTTCCTTCGTCCCTCTCTCCCTCCCTCCCTCCCTCCCTCCCTTTTTCTCTGTCTCTCTGTCTCTCCCTTTATCCCTCTCTCCCTCCCCCCTCTCTTTCTGTCTCTGTCTCTCTCTTATCTCACTATGCAACAAGTAAAGCTAGCTTCGAATTCTGAAATTTGCTATGTAGACCAGGTTGGTCACAAACTCCCAGAGACCCATCCAGAGTACTGAAATCAAAGGCCTGTATCACCATGCCCAGTTACCCATCCAGACCTTAATGCAAGTGGAGAAACATCTACTGTTGGGAGCAAGTAGAAAGGGGAGTGTTAGTTAAATGTGCACTGGCTATCTGTCATGGGCCAGACCCTCAGAAGAAAGGAGCAAAGGAGAAGGGGAAAGGGGGAAGGTGTGTCCTGAGGGCTAGCAACCCTAGGCTTTTGGTTAAAAACAACGTAAAATGGTAGTGTTGATCTATCTTGACAACTGAACTGGTACCAGGGGTCACCCAAGAATTCCTATAGAGCCTCTACCCACCACACTGCCTTGGAGGAATTAAGTATGAATGGAAACACAGAATAAGTTACTCTGAAAATAATGAATGGGAAAATACCAAGGCTTAATGTTAATGAAGTTAGCCAGCCGAATCTGGGGACTATGTGGCATTCCCCCCAAGTTTAGGCCCTAGGGTAAGTGGTCATGTTTCCTATACTTTTTCATGTTTGCCACATTGCCCACAGCTTGTGTTACTTTTGTGATTAAAAAAATCCTGACAGAGAAAAGGAAAATAACACCATGACCTGAGATCAGACATATGTAGAACTTGTGATGCTGAGCTAGAGTCAGTGAGATCAGGAAGGTAGATACCAGAGAAGAAAATGGCAGGGTTTGGCCTGGGGACATAGCTCAGAGATGGAATAATTGCCCAACAAGGGCAAGGCCCTGGATTCTATTCCTAGGACTGGAAGGGGCATATTGTGTTTGATAAAGACACTTTGGTTCCTTGTGCTATAAAAAGGAAGGAATCGGTGTGCACATGTTACTAGTTTAACAAGCACACACTGCTAACAGTTTGTTTGTTCTGAACCAACTCTCTCCCAGGCCAGATGCTCCAGATTCAGGCTTTTTAGAAGTGCCTGAGCCCTCATGTCCACAGAATGATGGGAGAACACAAAGGATACAAGAGAAGCAGACGTCATATGCTTAGCACCATGGTTGACACCTGACCAAACCACACACACACACACACACACACACACACACACACACACACACACACACACACCACGTAGGCAGGCACACAGTAAATGTAAAAAGCATGAAAAATGAAAGCATTTAAGCTGCAGAAATGAGTTTAGATGTGTGAGTTATCCACCAAAGCTCAAGCACACATGTAGGATAGCTCGTGGAATGGAGACTAAATGAATTGTAATATGTCCATGCTGTTGTGAAAATAATGAAGAAATTCTTCATACACTGATCTGTAAAGACTCCTCCCATGCAAGAGAGCTCCGTGCAGAAGGGTATGCACATAGGTGTGTCACTGTTGTCTTCAAAAGACAAGAACGGCCAGGTGTGTGGTAAATACATGTAACCTGGCAACTGAAACAGGAGAATCTTCAATTCAAGCCAACCTAGGCTACACAGTAAGAACAGGATGGGACTTGGAAAATGGCTCAGTGGTTGTGAAAGAAAGAAGACCAAAGATCCCCAGAACCCAAGTAAATGCTGGGTGGCATGGCAATTCACATGTAAAACTCACATGGCAACTCCTCAGAAAGCAGAAATGGAGGATCCCCGGAGCAAAGTGGCTAGAAAGACTAGCAGTAACGGGGATCCTGGTCTCTGGATTTGATCGACAGGCCTGGCCTCAAAGAATAAGGAAGAACTATATAGAAAGATTCCCCAATCATCTCAGGCCAACACACATATACACACACAGACCCAACCCTCCACACACACACATACACACATACTCAAACACATGCAGAAACATACACACATATCACACACAGAGGAAATGTTTAAGAACGAGATGGGAGAACAGAATAAAGATAAAATATATTTTAAATGTGCAAGTAACAGAGTTATTATTGCAAACACGTGGCATAGTAGTATGAAAACCAGGTAAGTTAGAGACAAGTGTGGATAGGAAATTATTTTTATAAACCTTTACATGCAAACATGATATGTGGACCATGAGAATCCCTAATCTTGAAAAACACAACTGAATTTTTTAATCATAAAGACAGATATTGTTGTCATTTGAATAATAATTCTTAGAGACAAATCTCAACCAAGATTGAGATGTAGGCCTTTTTCTCCCTCGAAACTCTCCCATGTACCCCTGTTACCGTCTTTCAAACTTATAGCCTCTTTTTCTTTGTGTGCATGTGTGTGTGCATGCGTGCGTGCGTGCGCGTGTGTGTGTGTGTGTGTGTGTGTGTGTGATAAAATATATACTTTTTATATTTTCTTCAAGTCAGGATTTCTCTATGTAGTCCTGACAATCCTGGAACTCACTCTGTAGACCAGGCTGGCCTCAACTCAAAGATTGTCTCTGCCTCTCAAGTACTGGGATTAAAGATGTGTTGCTACCACTGCCTGACTATAATATTGGGGAGAAGGAGGAGGAAGAAGAGGAAATCTAGAAATTGGATGGGCAAGGATGGGAGGTTGGAAGTGGTGATAAGGAGAGCAGTTGGGAGAATAAAAAAAAATCTTTTCAAAAGACATTGTATGACATTCTCAAAGAATAAAGTATTGCAAAAACAGTGTTTGAAAATAAAGCGATATCATTTTAAAAGATTGAGATGTAGGGCTGGGGAGATGGCTCAATTAGTGAAGCGCTTACCATGCAAGCACCAGTGTACAAAGGCTTGCCCCTGCAGCTCCAGGGCCAGGGAGATGGAGACAGTGGATCCCTGGGGCTTGCTGGCCAGCCAGTCTAGCTAAATTGCAAGCTCCAATTTCAATGAGAGATCCTGTCTCAAAAATAAATAAATAAGTAAATAAATAAATAAATGGTAGAGAGCAGTTCTATCATTGACCACTGGCCCCCAGGCCTCCATGTGCTACACAGAGAGAGAGAAAGAGAGAGAGAGAGAGAGAGAGAGAGAGAGAGAGAGAGAGAGAGAGGGAGGGAGGGAGGGAGGGAGGGAGGGAGGGAGGGAGGGAGGGAGGGAGGGAGGGAGGGAGGGAGGGAGAGAGAGAGAGAGAGCAGTCCTGACACTGACCACTGGTACCCAGGCTTCCATGTGCTACATACAAACACACACACACACACACACACACACACACACACACACACACACACACACACACACACACACACAGCAGTCCTGACATTGACCACTGGCCTCCAGGCCTCCAGGCCTCCATGTGCTACATACAATCACACACACAACTAAGCAAATAATCTAGGTGTTTTCCTGTCTATGGAGATGCAGTTCAAGCCCATCTCTCAGAAGGAGGTCTGATGTCCCTATTTACATGGCAGCCATTGGGGAGGTCTCCGCTGCCATTTCAGGAAACAGTGTACACAGAGCAGTTACCTTGTCAGTGATTTTCAGGTCACAGCCGGCCTTCAGCAGTGTCTCCACCAACTCTACATTCCCAAGATCAGCAGCTACGTGCAGAGGGGTCTGCTGCCTCTGCCGCGAGAGACCAAGAGACGTCAGCCTGTTATGGAAGCGGGAGAGCGCGCTCCACACATGCTTACAGGGGAAAATGGGTAACAACGTATCCTGTATCCTTACGTGGGCACCGGGGGACACACTGCAGCAGCATTTTAAAGTACTGAAAGACTAGAGGAGGTTATGGTGAGGACACAGGCAGTCCAAATATCCAGAAATTAGCTCAAGCTGGACTATTTCCAGAAGGGTTTCTGGAGGTCAGATAAAAGCCAGCATTCCTTAGGAACTGGTGAAGCAGGTTCCCGTCTGTCTAAAGGAGTCATTTCCCTTATCTCTGGCAGAAGGGACACATAGCTGCCTGCGGGGCCTATCAGCTTGTGGAAGCCCAGGCTGGCCTCCAGGCTCCCTCAGTATCACACGTACCTTACCTGGCCCTTCCCACCACCACCCATTTGTCCACACGGTTTGCCCACCCCGCACTCTTCCTCTCTGTTCCTGTCCTCCCTTGCTATCCCTGTGTTCTCTCAACGCTCCGCTCCGTTCTCTCTCGCTGTTCTCTCTGACTATCTATTCTCCCCCCATATGCTCTCTCTCTCTAGCAGATAGCCCCGGCCGTGTCCAGTCTGCTTTCTTTGCTCTCTGCTCTGGACTCTTCCAGGTGCCTCTGGATGTCCTCTCTCCAATCACAATAGAAAGCTTCCCCCAGTAACGGAGTGGTCACATCAGCAGTTCCCATACTGCAGCACCTCTCCTCAGCTGCATGTGCTTGGTAATTAGCCATTATATAAGCCTTATATAAACATACAGGATATCGGCAACTATTAGATCAACCCCAGAGCTTGCTGTGTGGTCCTGGAACCGTAGTCCCAGCTGTGTGGGAGGCTGGGCAGGAGGAGTCCTTAAGCCCGGGAGTTTGTGGTCTATCTGAGAAGTGTAACAAAACCTCATTTCAAAAAACTTTTTTTCAGTGCAAGGTACATAGAATTGGCAAATTCCAAAAGACAGGAAGGATGGTGGTTTCCAGGGGCTGGGGAGTGGGAAAGGGGAAGTTCTGGTACTTAAAAATTATTCAAATGGTTACTAATGTCATGCATTTTACCGTAATAAAACGACTTCCAAGGCTTACAAAGGAAAATCTATTTATTTATGACATAATATTAAAAAGTATTAGGAGGAGCCTGGAGAGATGGCTCAGAGGTTAAGAGCACTGGTTGTTTTTCCAGAGGACCAGGGTTCAAATCCCAGCACTCACATGGCAGCTCACAACTGTAACTCCAGCTTCAGGAGTTCCAACACCCTCACACAGACACACATGCAGGCAAAACACCAATGCACACAAAAACAAGTAAATCTTAAAAAAAAAAGCGTTAGGAGACAAGGCATTATATCTGGCTAAGTTTAATCTACAAATGCACAGAAAAAGAAGAAAAATTCATTGGTAATGCTAAAAATGGCGATGTTTAGATAGAGACTAAAGGCTATTTTATCACTTTCTTGATGCTTCCCCCTGTCTACATTATTGTGAAAGACTTCTGATTTCTTAGTGGAATCATCGCCACCCTGACCTCCTACAGAAAGGGGCAGTGTGAAGACATCTAGACAGACAGGGACTCCGGATATGATCCAGCCCCACTCCCGCACCAGGATGAGGAAGCCACTTCCACGGGGAAGGGCTGCACAGCCGCCTGAAGCAGAAGTTCTCTTCCTACCAAAAAAGGCAAAGGCAATGGCTTAACTAGTAAGGGCCACCAGCAGGTGGCAGTGTGCCCCTCTGGGGACTCATCACCCAACACGCACACTGGTAAACCCATCGAAGGCCTGTCTGTGCTGTTTCAACAGGTGTGCTTGACACTACTGCTGTAAGTCCAGGACACAGGGAGCACCAAAACAAGAGTTAGCTTTCTTCAGAAGAATGGCCTTCTTAGACATATTTATACATTCTGATTCTACAGCCTTTAAGTGAAAAATATAAACTTTTAATTTTGTCTGTCTATTACTAACATAACAAAAAGTTTGACCTGATAAGTTCTAGTTGTGTAACTGATCGGCAGGCATGACAAGCCCTCCTTCCCTAGAGTGGGATCCAGCCAGTTCTGTAGGAGCCAAAAATCACACATGAACACAAGGCACTGCCTATTTAGCAAAAGGTTTTCACTTTAGGAAAGATTTGAGACATTAACAATTTTGAACAAGCAAATATATTTAATAACCATGGCATGGAATTCTGGCCCCAACTTGTGGGCTATTGAAGCACAGAAGAGGGAGGCACCCCAAAGGAGGGAGGGAGGGAGTGCAGGCAAGTCTCCCTTCTGCACAGGTCACAAATTAACCAAAGGGCTGGAGCTGGAGGAGACCCAAAAAGGATCAAGTCACCAGCAGGGGAAGAAACGGGGACAGGGTAGATTGGGACAGGTGAGCCCCTCTTCCTGCCCTCCCCCCAACCTAGAGGACGCAGGTAAAGATTACCTGAAAAGAGGCTGCACGTGGCTCAGGCCCCCAGAAACGCTTCCCCCTGGAAGGGGGCAGCTCACAGAGGCTACAGGAGTCCATTGTTTGCTGCTCCACGGGGTCTATCTTCAGCTGGGATGTTTGATTCTGTCCCAGCTCATTGAATATCTGGTGATCTTTTTATTTGTTGTTTGTTTTAATTCCCAGTCTCTTTTGCCTTCTGGCATAGAAGATACTCAACATGGAAACTAAGCTTCCTTCGTATGGGAACCGGGTTCAGGCCAAGGAAAACATTTCACACTGTGGAGCGACTTTTGATTTAAAGAGCCTCTGGCAACTTGCCTTGGCACTGTTTATCCAAAGCCCTGGCTATGCCTCTTAAAAATGAACGACTTGATTACATACCCACAGAATCCCAGTTTGCCCATGCAGAAAACAGAAGTGTGGGGACAGAATGCGGGTTACAGAAGAAACGTGACGGAAAAAGGATGCACACGCTGCCTCCCAGAAATTTTTTTTAGGCACCTTGAACCTAAGCAGAGTTCCCCGCTCATACCTGGTGTTGAAACACCAAGAACAGAGCAGAGCGTCCAGGCCCACCGCCACTTACCTGATCTAAGATGTCAACATCATGCTGAGCGCTTAATAAGCTGTTCACAACCGTAGGGTGGTTGTTGATGACTGCTAAGTGAAGAGGGGACTCCCTAGACTGCAGAAAGAAAGAAAAATTGCAAATCCGGAAGCATCTAGTTTCAACATTCAAATCCCGAAGCAACTCATCTCAGCCATCACTCTCTGGTGATCTCTGAGAATTAAAACAGTCCACCTCAGTAGGGGACCACAGGAAGCCTCCAGCAATCAGTGTCATGCCCAGGCTGCCGGTCGTTCTGGGCATATATGACAAGCTCCTGCTATGGGCCCATCTGTTCAGGGGTTAGAGATTTATCTTTTAATGAAGTCACTGTTAGGTTTCAAACCTGGGACAAACAGCTGAGATGCCTATTTAACATATCAAAGCAGACACTGGCCTCCAGGTTGTCCCAGCATCCCTCAGTCCATACCTGGCTGGCATACTCCACCCCCTACCCTGAACTCTGCAGCCCAGGGGTCTGGGTTGCCCTTTCCTATATAATCCAAAAATTTTGGTTACCTGCCCCTTTTGCTCCTTTGGGCCTCCTGACTGCTGCACCTGGTTCTCCTCTCTCCCGTCTCCCTCCCCCACCTCCTCAGATGGCCCAGCCCAGTCTGGCCATGTCCACTGTGGACTCTCCCAGATGTCCCTGCCTCTGGCTACACTCTCCCACATATCTATAATAACCCTCCTCCTCCACCTTACCTAGAAACCTTCCCCTTCCTTTTTATTTTTTTTAATTCAGCCACACAGCTATTTAGTTTCAAAGTTTAAGTGATTTAGAGGAAGCGTCAAATGTGCTGAGAAGGCATGAGGAGCGGGGGAGGGCTGGCCCTCCTGGAAGCTAGAAAAGGCTTCCTTGAAGAACTGGACAAGGAAGTCTTAAGGCTCAGCTGAGGACTTCTCCAGGCCAGCCCTGGAGAGCCAAAGGACAAAAGGAGTGGCCACAAAGGAGGAAATGCACACACAGTCAGCACTTCCTGGTCAGAAGCAAGCCACACTCAGTTCCCCAGGGCTGGTGGTCCTGTCTACTCAGGGCTCAGTGCTCCTCCACAGAGGCCACCCGTGCTCCTTCAGTGTCCTCCTTTAACAAACAACCTGTCTTCTTTACCTCACCCCACCTGGGTCTCCCGACCCTGCTCACTCCTTCCTCCATCCCCTCTCTTACTCAACCCACCAGACGCCAAGCCACACACGGTCTCAAACGCCCCTGCTACCTCACCTCCACCCAGCCACGCTGGCCTGCTGAGCTTTCTGGGAGGAGAGAAGGCAGCTAAGGACTGAGGAAGGAGCAAGGAACAAAGGGGCAAAAGCAGTTAAGGCATGAACTAGATGAGTGAGATGAGGGGCTTGAACAGTGGAGGAAGAAGGGGGCAGGGGCAATCAGTGAGACTGCAGCCCAGTGGTGGCCCCAGGGCTGCTGGGAACAGAATAGAGAAGGGGTGGTTAGGGTAACCTGCAGCATCACTCAAGTGTGGAGACAACGTTGGTGTCAGGCACACTCAGCGCATCCTCTCCTGGTTCTTACTACACACTCACTACCCGCAACGTTCATCCTGTTTTAAACACTAGGTTAAGCAGGTGTGGTCCAGGCCTCTAATCTCAGCACTCAAGAGGCAGGCAGGCAGTTTAACTAGGCTACATAGGGAGTTTCGGGCTACCTTAGACTACACAGTAAGAACCTGGCTCAAAAAACATAGGACAAAACAAGACTAGTTTAAATAACTGCTCTTAAAAGCTGTGGAATCCACGGTAACCCTAGGAGTTGGACCCTATATGCCCTACCTTACACATAGCAGATTGGTAACTCTAAAATAACAAGGAAGAGACAGACAGGCCTTGAGCGCAGACCTTCCAGAGTTCTCCATCTGCATGATGGGGATAGGCTGATGGACCAGACATGAGAAACAGGGAGGGCTGAGTGAGAGGCTGTCTGGGGGTGAGCCACGGAGACAAGATGGCACTGGGGTACCCATGGGGGTCACCTGAGAGGGAGACTGTGAGGGTCTCCTCTGCTTGGAAATAAGCCCCCCGCCCCAGAAGCATGAAGCAAGAACAAAGAGACAGCAACCTTTGCCTCAAAAACGTGGTCCTTATTATGGCCAGGGCCACCCACCTTGCTGGAAGTCCACTTCTCCTGAGAATGAGGAAGCCTCCTTGGCCTGAGCTAGGTAAATTAGAGCCAAACCCTCTAACTCCATGCTCTAAAAATTATCGGACATGGTTCAGATCACATCCTTCCTTTCAAGTCAGTGCCATGAATAGGAACGGCTCAGCACAAACAGAGAAAATAATATTCACGGGACAGAGAAAAATACAGTGGGGCATAGAGGAATGCTTCTTGTCAGATTCCAGCACAGAGGGCCTCTGTTTGTTCTGCCAAAGCCAATCCAAACTTCAGAGAAACCTCAATCAGTAATAAAGGATTGATTTTGAAAAACCACAAGATCATTTGGAGATGGAGAAACGGTTTATTTTCTCCACACCCACAGCAAGGGCGGCCGTGGCATTTTCCAGGCTGGTGAGATCCCTACGGGAGTAGAGGCACCTCTAGACACCTGAGACTTACTATAGCAAACACATCTTAAACACAAAGATTTTGTTTTGTTCAGGGACTTCAATGACTTTCTAAATTTCACCACTTGGATCTTATTTCTCATGACTAAGACTCAAAAACAAAACAAAACAAAGCCAGCGTTCCCTTAAAAGAATCCTTCCCTCATGAAATATCTCATCCAGGGCATTCGCAGCACCGGCACCCAAACCTGGTTGACTGGTATGGACTCACTTCCTTCTGCTGTTGCAGATCAGCGTTCTCACTGAGAAGAAAGTTGACAAGGGATGTGTGGCCGTTCCGGGTGGCTGTCTGCAAAGCACTGACGTTGAGCTGCAAGGAACAGATGGAGAGGGCAAGAGGGATTCCGTTACTATCGGCACGCAGTCTGGTGCTCAGTACATGGTAATTAATTTATGCATGAAATAGTACAACTATTTAAAAAAGGAACCCCAACGTGTTTCTGATTATTCTGGGGTCTGTCACTTCAATGCGTCTCTTATTTATCATGTCATATAACCCCGTGGCCTGACTGGGTCTCCAAAATTCATAATCGTGGTGAGATGAGGTATAGGGGAGGAGACATCAGGAAGTGGTAATGTGGGAGTGGAGCCCTCATGATGGTGTCCCTGCTCCTGTAAGAGGGTCCAGAGGGCTAGCTGCTCCTCCCGCAGCCATGGGAGGACATAACAAGTGGCTGCCAGTGAAGTCGGAAGAACATCGTCATTGGAACCCCACCCTGTTAGTGCCCGGGCCCGGGGTTTCCAATATCCAACTAGGAGAAACAAATGCTGGCTGCTTAAGTCACCAGCTTTGTTATTATTGTTATCATCATCATCATCATCATTACTATTGCTATTTTTATTACTATTTTAGCAACCTGACCTAAGACATTGAGAAGCTATGACTGAGGCACATATGAGTTAAATCCCTATTTCCTTAATCACGTTTACTGCTATGGTCTGAGCAAGTCTTTTCCTTGAGTTAAAATAGGTGGTTGACATTGACTTCAAAAAGGACCTCAATGGCTTCTGGCTCCCTGCCTCTGTTTATTCCCAGCTCTCCTCTTTGCCAGGAATGGCTTCAAAGCTTAGCAAGGTTTCCACCTTTGTGAAGTGTTGCTTCTTGACCCTTCTACCCGTTTCCTTTCACAACTCTCATCCACCCACTTCTACTACCCCATGCCACTTTCCAGTGCCTAAATAGCTCCGCTTAGTGCCTGAGCTAAATGGTACTCAGATCAAAATCGTGGCCTACTCTTGATGAGGCTTCAGTCAATCTCCAAGCAGCCTAGAGTGAGAACGGGCAACAATGAAAGCCAATGAATTAGTTATGGTTGATTAAAGGATTGCCATGAAACATATTCAGGCCCTCCATATAAGAGCATTGTAGAGAACTGCTTTCCCCAACTGTGTTGATATCCCCCGACCTACTTGCCACTCCCCTATCAACAGCTAGGATTCATTTCTTTACTCCCTTGACTCTTGGTGGACGTGTAACTTCTTTAACCAGTGGTTATAACAGAAGTGACAGAGGAACCGGTTCTAGGCAGGGCCCCTAACTAGCCTGGCAGCTTCCTCCCCCTTCCTTTTGTACTGATCATTCTTTAGCACTTCCTCTTGGGACCAGCTGACAAGCTATCCAGGGGAACACCCTACATAGAGGTGCGGCAGTTGACCTCCCAGCTAACAGCTGGCAACATCTTCCAGGTAAGTTAGTGAGCCATCTTGGATATCTAGCTCAGAGAAAACTTTATATGACTAAAATCCTGACCACCCTCTGACTATAATCATGTAAATAGACTCAAAGTAGGATTATCACAGATGAGCCCAGTTAACCCCCTGTGAAAGTTTTCAAAATCAGAACGCATTTCCTTTTGTTCAGTCAAAATAAACAATACCAGGAGGTTATAAAAGAGGGATCTGACATACATATACTTAGTGGTGAGAGCAATCCTAATTACTTTTCTGTTTTTCCACTGTGACAAAAAAGCAAAACACTATTACCAAGGTAACTCATAGTTTAGAAGGTGAAGGTGAGCCCATGACCTTAACAGCAGGTAGGCAGGCAGGGCACTAAGGCAGTAGCTGAGAACTTACATTTACATATTGAGTCAACAACCAGAGAGAGTGCTAACTAGGAATGGTATGGGCTTTTGAAACCTGAAAGCTCACCCTTAATTACATACTACCCACAATAAGACCACATCTCCTAATCCTTCCTAAACATTTCCACCAACCGGGACTGAGTATTCAAACACGAACCTATGGGGCACTTTTATTCAAAACACCACAAGAAGTATTCTCAAAAGACTTCACAAAAGGCTCTGAGTCTCTGGAGTAAAAATACTCCTGGAGGTTGGAAAAATGACTTAGCACTTAAGAGCATGTACTGTTCTTGCAGAGGACTTGAGTTTGGTTCCCAGCACCCATGCAGGTGGCTCACAACCACCTTCAATCCTAGCTCCAGAGATATGACATCCTCTTTTAGCATCCTCCAGCAACTGCACGCACATGCACATACCTTGCCAAACATATAAACATACACATGCATTCAAAAGTTAAAAATAAATCTTTAAAGTAATATTCCTGCCAGGATGTCTACCTAGTAACCTCCTGCTTGACTTGGACCTAAGACTTTTGCTATTGATTCAGACAGTCAACAATTTTTATTTCAAACATCTAAAGAAATCCTCCTTAAATTAGACCTTAAGAATGTCCCTTGGCGGATATACCTTCTTCTCGGCACCACATGGAACCTTCTCTAAAATTGACCACATAATAGGAAACATAGCAAATCTCCACAGATACAAAAAAATTGGAATAACCCCCTGCATCTTATCAGACCACCATGCATTAACATTAGAATTCAACAATAACACAAATCGCAGAAACCCTACAAACTCATGGAGATTGAACAATGCACAATTGCACCATCCCTGGGTAAAGGAACAAATAAAAAAAGAAATTAAAGACTTCCTCGATTTCAATGAGAATGAAGACACAACATACACAAACTTATTGGACACTTTGAAAGCAGTGCTGAGAGGAAAGTTTATAGCACTAAGTGCCCACATGAAAAAACTGGAGAACAGTCATACTAGAGAATTAATAGCACAGCTGAATGTTCTAGAACAAAAAGAAGCAAACTCCCCAGGAGGAGCAGACGCCAGGAAATAATCAAATTGAGGGCTGAAATCAATCAAGTAGAAACCAGGAAAACATTGAGAAGAATCAATGAAACAAAGAGTTGGTTCTTTGAGAAAATCAACAAAATAGACAAACCTCTGTCCAAACTAACCAAAAGACAGAGAGAGAACATGCTAATTAACAAAATCAGGGATGAGAAAGGGGACATAACAACAGACTCTGAGGAAATCAAGAGAATCATCAGGGCATACTTTGAAAATCTGTACTCCACAAAATTTGAAAATTTAAAGGAAATGGACAATTTCCTGGATAGATATCACTTGCCAAAACTAAATCAAGAACAGATAAATAATCTAAACAGACCTATAACCCCTAATGAAATAGAAGCAGTCATCAAAAGTCTCCCAAACAAAAAAAGCCCAGGCCCAGATGGCTTCAGTGCAGAATTCTACCAGAAATTCAAAGAAGAGCTCATTCCAATACTCGTCAAAGTATTCCACACTATAGAAGCAGGAGGCTCACTGCCAAACTCTTTCTACGAGGCTACAATTACCTTGATACCCAAGCCACACAAAGACACAACTAAGAAAGAGAACTATAGACCAATTTCCCTCATGAACATTGATGCAAAAATACTCAATAAAATACTTGCAAACCGGATTCAAGAACACATCAGAAAAATCATCCATCATGATCAAGTAGGCTTCATTCCAGGAATGCAGGGATGGTTCAACATTAGAAAATCTATCAATGTAATCCACCATATTAACAATCTGCGAAAGAAAAACCACATGATCATCTCACTAGATGCTGAAAAAGCCTTTGACAAAATCCAGCACCCCTTCATGATAAAGGTCCTAGAGAGATCAGGGATAACAGGAACGTACCTGAATATAATAAAAGCAATATACAGTAAACCAACAGCTAACATCAAACTAAATGGAGAGAAACTCAAAGCAATTCCTCTAAAATCAGGAACAAGACAAGGCTGTCCACTCTCTCCATATCTCTTCAATATTGTACTTGAAGTTCTAGCTACAGCAATAAGACAACAAAAGGAGATAAAGGGGATACAAATAGGAAAAGAAGAAGTCAAACTTTCATTATTTGCAGATGATATGATAGTTTACATAAGTGACCCAAAAAACTCCGCAAGGTTACTCCTAGAGCTGATAAACACCTTCAGCAATGTGGCAGGATACAAGGTAAACTCAAAAAATCAGTGGCCCTATTATATACAGATGATGAAGTGACTGAGAAAGAAATCAGAGAAACATCACCTTTTACAATAGCCAAAAACAGCATCAAATATCTGGGGATAATGTTAACCAAGGAAGTGAAAGACCTGTATATCAAGAACTTTGTGTCTTTGAAGAAAGAAATCAAAGAAGATACCAGAAAATGGAAAGATCTCCCATGCTCTTGGATTGGTAGGATCAACATAATAAAAATGGCAATCTTGCCAAAAGCAGTCTATAGATTCAATGCAATCCCTATCAAAATTCCATCACAATTCTTCAAGGACCTGGAAAGAACATTAATCAACTTTATATGGAAAAACAAAAGGCCCAGGATAGCCAAAACATCCCTATACAATAAAGGAACTTCAGGAGGCATCACCATACCTGACTTCAAGCTCTATTATAGAGCTATAGTCCTGAAAACAGCTTGGTATTGGCACAAAAATAGGCAGGTAGACCAATGGAACCGAATCGAAAGCCCTAATTTTAACCCACACACCTATGAACACCTGATTTTTGACAAAGAAGCTAAAACTGTACAGTGGAAAAAAGAAAGCATCTTCAACAAATGGTGCTGGCATAACTGGGTAGTGGTATGCAGAAGACTGCAGATAGATCCATGTTTATCGCCTTGTACAAAACTTAAGTCCAAATGGATCAAAGATCTCAACATACATCCAGCCACACTGAAACTTTTAAAAGAGAAAGTGGGAGATACTCTTCAACGAGTTGGTACAGGAAGCCACTTCCTAAACATAACACCAGTGGCACAGGCACTGAGATCAACAATTAACAAATGGGACCTTCTGAAACTAAAAAGCTTCTGTAAGGCAAAGGACACAATCAAAAAGACAAAAAGGCAGGCCACAGAATGGGAAAAGATATTCACTAACCCTACATCTGACAGAGGGCTAATCTCCAAAATTTACAAAGAACTCAAGAA